TATATATAATTATAATATTTATAATTAAGTTAAGTTTATTATATATATATATAATTATATATTTAGAATTGTATTTATAATTATGTATTTAATTTTACAGAAACTATTAATATTAACATAATGTAATAATTTCACTCTCTCTGTCCATTATGCAACTAATAAGACTATTATCAGACTATAAATTCGATTGAATTTTCAGATATCAATCTACCTATAACATTTCTAAAATATGTACTCAACCCTATCATATATGTTTACAAATTCACTATTGATGATCCTAATTTCATGATGAAACACTAAAATATTTCTAATATTTAGTTTCATCACTACGATCATTACAATTAAGCATTCCCAATCGATATGGATATTCTTTATGGATTTGATTTTTTTATTTAAGGCTGCTAATATGTCCTCTAAAATTAAATCTCCGACGCCATCATTCATTTTGAGATCTTCGATAAAATAAATGACTTTACTTATCCTATTTTTAAAAGGTCAATACCTAAATATTAGATATTTTGTAATAACTATTTTAATGATGTTTGTGAAGAACTTCTTTAAATACTTATTTAATGTTTCGTCAAACTTGAAACTCTTGAAAACTAAGAAATAAAATAATTCATGCTTGAAAGATGTTCATTAATGCTTCAAAACATTGAAAACATTTAATTTCCTCAATAAACATTGAATTAAAATTCTCTCTAATTAAAAATTGAAACAAAAAAGAAATTACATAAATCTTAAGTAAAATTAGCATGTTTAAGTTTTAATTTCAGTGAAGAAAACTTGTTTACTAAAACATTTTCTTCATTGTTGTCTGATACATCTCACATAAATCAAATAGGAGCTATATTATTTACTAAATTAAGTCACTCTGAAAAACCATGGGAAATATTCTTTAAAAAATTAAATGTAAAATAACGACTTCCTCATATTACTAGTCTTGTCTTTTATCTCAATAAAACATATGATGAATCATATCTTTATTGTGTTCTTAGATTAGGCAAGTTATTAAAAAGATTTAAAGAATATTGGTTGTCTTTAGTAATTTTTAGTTTTTTAAGAAAAGTTTCTATGGTTTTTCAGAAGTAATTTGACTTCATTCCCTATCTTCCTTTTTTATATTCTCAAATTGCTAAGATTTGTATCTATTTAGGATAATTCAATGAAGCCTATTAGTTTTATATAAAGGCTTATGAAAAGACAAAGTAATTAGATAGTAATAAAATATATGATGATAGTAAAAATAAAAATAAGTTCAGTTTTAAATTAAAATATAAATTAATGATTTTATCACTATACTTATAAAAATCAAGTGAAGCTATAGAAATGCTTAAGGAACTGTTATAAGATGATAGAAGTATGCCTTATCATATTAGTATTTTTACCGATTTTTGTAACTAATATTTGTAAGACATATTACAATTCAATAAAACATAAAAGTATAGAAAATGCGATTAGTTTTTAACATATCTATCAAATGTAGTGAGAAGTAATTTGATAGGTATTTAAATTCCAAATGAAGATATAAAATAATAAGCTAATGTGATTGAGTTGAAGGATAAAGACATTCCTAAAGTAACACTAAAATAGAAAATAGAATATGAATTTAAATTAAATTCTTATTTCTAGATACTATAATTTTATTTAATTCTTGTATGTCATATGAGAAACGATTAAATGATGTCAAAACACTATTATTAGAAATAAGAAATTATGGAGTAATTTTTATAATATATTGATTGCAAATTATATACAACTTTGTCTGATGTGATATTAAATTTCTCATTTCCATAAGATTGCTATGAAAATTTATTATTAAGTCATTTTTACTAATATATTACAATGTTTAATCACTGTAAAAATCGATTAACTCAATTTGAGAAGTCAAAGTAGGAAAATAAAAAAAAATATAATGATTAAGAATCTATAGTTTTTAAAAAAATAGTAGAAAATTATAGATGTTCTATTCAATACAATCAAGAAGAAACACTTGTAGATAATTGTGTTCCCATATCAGATCTTACAGAAATTTAATATACAATTGGTATTCGATATTTAAAAGAAGGAAGATATAGAGAGGGAGTAGAATATTTAAAAAAGATTGCTTCAAATACAATTTATAAAGATTTATGCATGGCTCATTTATTAAAAGTACTTTAATAATCAAGGGAGGAATTAGAGATTGTAAATTCAGCTCAGTTTAAGAATGATACAGAAGAAATTATTAAATAAATTGATTTTGATAGACTTTAATAAAGTTAAAGTAGAAAAAGTTATATTTATTAAGAGTTCCATAGAAATTCTTATTCATAACAATTAATGAATCAAAATTGTTTAGTGAATTCTGTGTCTTTATCTCAGATTTCAAGAAGTAATTCAGTACTTTTAGATTAATCTTATACATTATAATAATTGAAAATTTATTTAGATGATAATGAAATAACTGATTTAATTGATAGGATTGAATAAGAATTTCCAAATGTAGAACAATTAGATTAAATCAAATTATAAAACTAATTTTCTACAAGTAGAATGTTAACATAAGAAGTGGTATTATTGATAAATGATCATGAAAAAATTGTTATGAAAACAAAAGAGATTGCTGAAATACATTTATATAAATTAAAAAATAAATTAAAGAATAATTTGATTGAAATTTTAGCATAAGTAATTGTAAATAAATTAAATTATCGTGGTTTTGTTCAATTAATTTCATTAAAATATTAATTCAATATTAGTTAAACATATGCAAGTAAATTAACATTTTATATGATCTTTCCTTATTATGAAGAATTACCAAGAATGAATATTAGATAATTATAAGATTTAACATTGTCAATATAGATTTTAAATCACAATAAGATTTATCATAGAGATTTAAAACCAAATAATATATTGATGAAAGATGGTAATCCTGTAATAATTGATTTTGATTGTTCTTATTTTTGGGATGAAGGATTACAAAAATGGTATAGAGGATAAGGACTTACATCATAATATTATCCAGAAAATGAAGTATAAGAAGATAAAATAGATATTTATTAATTAGGTAAGATAGCAAAAGAAATAGTAGAGAATTGTCCAGAAGAATTCTTTATAGGAGCTACAAGTCAATATGAAAATAGATCCTCATTACAGTAATTATTACAAATATTAAATTGATTATAAAATAATGTAATTATTAACATCATTTACAATCAATACAGACAATTAAAATTCATAAGCCATTTGAACGAAAATCTAGAATACAAAAAACATTTTTATTCAAAATATTATGTTATAGGAATGAATATCAGAAAATAATAAAAATAGATCAATATTTAATAATTGATGGAGATAATATATGAGAAAAGAATATAACGAAAAATACCATCTGTCATTTATAATGGTATTTTTAGTCTACTTAAGAATGATATACATTCGGAATAAATAATGATAACAATATTTAGACAGAGCTTCTTTATCATCATTAAACAAATAAAAAATATGAAAAATTAACATTCATTGTTAACAATGGATTACATATTCCAAAAACTAAGTAGAAACAAATAAATAAACTGTTAGATTTAATATTGCATTAGCTTGAACAAAATGTTCAATTTTACTATTGATTTATCACATGAATCATATTTTAGATAATTTAATTATACAATCATATTATTTCTCTTATCAAATTACACCATTCACAAAAGATGAATTTATTATAAGAAATAGATTATTTATACAAATTATTTATGCAATCAAATAAAAGTTTAATGATTCTTCATCAATTTTTTACATCTTAACCTAAACTATTTTCCAATCAATTTATATAATCTAAAAAAAGTGGATAAGAGATATAAATAATAAAATAAATTTTAAATAATTCTGCAAGAGTAGTTGTTATAATTTGTTAATTTAATTAATAAACTCTAAAATTAAATCTAAACCTTTGATGGATTTTGAGAAAAAAAAGTGATGAATAAATTCTCATAACATTCTTAAACCTATTAATTAATATTTATGGATATAAAAATACTAATAATAGATGAGTTCTAAATATATATTCTTTTAAAAAATTTTAAAGATCTTTGAGTTAACTCACAAGAAATATATAATTGTGATTTGTTTTCCTTAAAATACTTTGTAGAATTTTGAGTTAAATAATAAAATTAGAATCAATTAATTCCTTTCCAAACCTAGGGATTTAAAATAATTAGAGTTACTATTGAAAATGATTTAACAATAAAAATTAAATGATTAATTTCATTTGTTAAATGATGAAAAAAGGAAAAATTTTTACATTTCATTATGATTAAAAACATATATTTTCAATTAGTTATTCATAATTCACATACTTTTCCATGAGGCATTCTTCTAGCTCTTATTAACCAAGAGATATTCTTAATTATGATAATGTGTTTCTTGTAATTAAAAATCCATATCTTTTAAATCTCAGATAAATAATATTTTAAAAAATTAATTAAGTTAAATGAATATGGTAAGATTTTGTTAGTTTTAAAAATATATTATTAAAACTTAACTCTCTTATTTTATAAAAGGTATAATTAATAAAAAATATATTTAATAATTTATATCATTTATCTATTTAAGAACAGCTTTTCATTTAAAATGTAATTTCATTATGAACAAAATAGTTGCAAACGTCAGAAACAATTAAATTTTTAAATGAGTTTACTAAATCGCTGTTTTATGGATCCATAACTTCTAAATCTTCAAAATCCTTTTTAAATTCGCTTATCATTCCATTAATGGATTCATTAAGTTACAATATTTTAAACTAGATTTTTTTCTTCCATAATACTGAGAGGATATTTTTTTAGTTTAGCTTACAAGGGCAACCTTCAGGAAAATTATCTTGAAAATTATGATATTATACTCCGTGTGGAGGAGATTCGGCAATTAAATAAAGAAGCCTGACATATTATTTATCAACCCAAGTTAATTTAATTGAAGCATTTAAACCATCCAAAACAGCTTCAGGACTATCTCCTCCTCCATCTGCAGTTTATTTATTTAAGAATTCAATTATTACATTCTCTGAGGTGAAATCTTCAACATCTAAAACTTTTTATGATGATTAATAAGGATAATCATGATCTTTGTATGATATAACTGCAAAACTCACATTTAATGCTTCCCCATATATATTTTTATGAGATTTTGCTTTTTTCATAATATCTTTAATTATTTCTTTACACATTTATATATAATTAGCCATAGATCCTGTTGTATCTAAAACAAAGGCAATATTAATTCCTTAAATTTAATTTTTTTTATGTTCTTCAGAGCAAAAAAATCTATGACTACTTATTTTATTATCTTTAGTATGCCAAGCTTCTAATTCGCAAAATTCATATTCTTTTTTTTAAAAATAACAAAGTGGGCAATAATAATTACATCTTCTAATATTATTAATTTCATTTTAGATTGGATGGGACCATTAATTATATTACCAAAAATCAAAACACAATACTTCATCAAAATTAAATTCTTCAAAATTTACATATTTTTCTGTTGAATGTCTTGCCTTATTTATAAAATTTTAATTTTATTCTAAACATAAATTATCACCTTTGCATTCTACTAAATGAAAATGAGCTTTTCCTCTTCTTTTACAACTTTAGTCACATGTTTCAGGCTCAGAACTATCACCAATTTAATATTTTCTAATAATATCTTTACTATCATAGATTTAAATTTATTCTAAATGACCATATTTCTAAGTAAATATTTAATTTTCTTTATTTCTATGTCTTTCAGAAGAATGGATTCCTTAATGGCCATATTTCAAATCACAAAATGTATTACATTCTGGACATTTTTAATTACAATTATGAAATTATTTATCAGTATCATTTTTACAAAGATGCTTTCCATCATGTTTAAGTTTACCATTAGGAATTTCGAAATGACATTTTTATTTTCCGTTCTCTTTTGGTATATATTTTATGTATTAAAATTCAGATATTGAAGACTTCCATGTAGCTTCTTTGATTTCATAATCTATTTTGCAAATACCTTTTTCATCACATTTTTCTTAACAGTAATGTTATTAATCACAAAAATGATGTCCTTAATTTCTAGATTTATTATGAGGATCTTTACATCTTCGTTAGCATAAACTGCAATTTTAATTACAATATATATCCTTACAATCATGATTATTATTATGAGGAATCGAACGATCTGTTTAACAATTTTTATCACAGTAGTTACATTTCTCATTACAAGGATGATCATTTTAGCAATTATGTTATTTTTCATGACCATAGCTTTTCCAACAAGCACTTTAGCAATCTCTTATATCACATTTACCATTACATTTGTGATCTTTTTCAGAACACAAATGTTCTTGATTTTAATCATGACCAGCCTTTTTATCACATATCTTATTTGGACATATCTAACAAACTTAATCACATTTATGACTTTTACTTAAACATGAATGTACTTCAAGTTTATTTTAAGTAAGCTAATCTAATTATTTTTACTATTTTTTCAATTTTTCGGCATACTTTTCAATTTAATTAAAAGTTCTTAAATTTTAATTTGATTCTAATTATTCATCTTCAAGTTTTTGTATATAAATTTCATTTTCTTACAATTTTTTTAATACCTCTTAAAGTGTAAAGTTCAAAAAAGTACTTTATTGATTCTATTCTAAAGACTATTTCTCTTATTATGTTAGAGTCTAAAACTAGATTAAATAATCTTAAAATGTTTTAACTTGATCAAATCTATCATTAATTTAACCAATTTACTTATCTATATTTTAAAATTACTATAAGATCTGATTATTCATTTCATTTACTTCATTCATTTATATTTGCAGTGATTATTATTATTTTTCCAGAGTTTTTGATTATTCTTCAGTATCTTAGAATTAGGTTACGAGTTTATCAAGATCTTAATTTGCAATAGAAATTCTATTTTATAATGATTTTAAAGTATCAATTAATTTTAAGTAATTAATTATGTTTTAAATGTATTATTTCCAATTTTTAATATTAATCTCAATTTCTCCAATTTTTAATTCTTAGGTTTTTATCTCCTATTATATTTCTTTTAATTCATTTTCTTTTTTTAAGAAAAACAACTCCATAATTTTCTCATTAATTATATCCTAATTTTTTTCTTCCAAATTTTCTTTTTTTTCTTTAATCTAAATATCTAATTCTTCTTGTTAAATGATCTCCTCATTCTAATTATTTATATTTCTATTTTGTTCTTAATCATTAACTATTTATTAAATTGAACCTAAAAACTCTTTTTATTATGATATGGCTTCTTCTTAATTTTTATTATAAAATTCATCACTTATTTGTTGACTATTTTATTAAAAGTTTTTCTCTGAATTTTATATGTATTTTTCTTAATTCTATCCAATTAATGAATTTTCAACACTTCCTTCTTATTCAAAGATTTCATTTAAACTTTATTAATCTATTTTTATATCTTAAAGTTCTTTCACGCATTACTAATATAAAATCAAATTCTCAAAATCATATTTATTTTCCGTACTTTCTAAGTCTTCTTTTTTCTTTTCATACTTTTTGATCTATTCATCGATATTCTACTCATTATATTTATCTAATTTTTATTTTATTTAATCAATAGCTATTAGATCTTTTGGGTTCTTCTTATTTTGAGCTTCAAATTTCTTCTTTAGTGCATTGATATCAACCTTTTCCTTTAACAAATTTGTTAATAAATTAAATTATTTATATTCAATTATTTGGTTTTTTTTAAAATAGTTCGTTAATAAGATGGTATTTGTTATAAATATGTTGAATGATGATAAATTGATTTGGATTGGAAATCTTATTTAGAATCAAATATAAATTATTATATCTACTTAAATACAAAAATTATTTATAAATCAAAATATTTAGGCAATTATAAAAAAATATGATGAAATTATAATAATTATATTATTAAATAATCAAGAATATAGCAATGAATTTTAAGTTTTTTGTTAAAATTACTATTCTAAATATTCCCTATATTTTAAAGTTAATGCTCTTTTCTTTTTATTTTTACCTCTCTTTGTTACTGAATGTTATAATATATTATTCAATATTCCCATTCTACTAGTTCTTTATGAATAAAACTCACTCCCGTCATTTCTAATACTCAATTACTCATATTCAACACTTGAATCTCTACTACTATTACAAATCTATATCTTTTAATTGTTACTATGATATCTTATTCTATCATCTAAATCATTTAAATATAAAGTAGCCTTTATTGGCCATTATTTTTCAATATTCTATTCTAATTTTAATTATTTTGGTAATTAAACATAAATAGTTTTCTATTATAATGTATTTATATTGACTGATTCTTCTGGTGATAAATTATGCATTCTTTTTAAAATTGTCATCTTATGTCTTATTACTTAATTAAATCTATCAGGTGTTGATAATTAATTTCTTTCTTATTATCTATTTGAAATCAATTTAATTTTTGGTAAGGGTTATACTTTTTCTGGAGAAGATATAAGTATAGTGTTTGTATTTCTCATCTTTTAATTTACAGTATTATTTATATCTTCTTATTATTCATTTATTTAACTATCATCTATTGATGTGATATAATTCAATGTATTTTTTAATTCAGTTATTGGACTTACACATATTATAGTTTCAGGTAATTATTTAATATCCTTTATAATTTTAGTAGGTGATTCTATTTTTTTAGATGAATTATTAACATTAGATAATTTTTAATCTTAAACAGTTAAGTAGTGTTAATACTTTCCTTAAGTCTATTCAATATTAGTTTTGAAATCATGATACCATCTATTTTTTCTTAAACATAATGACTTCAATTATTATACATAATGTTATTCATTTTATTATGATAATTTTTGATTTAATAATTGTAATGGAATGATAATTAAACTTGCAGTGTGAGAATTACATTATACATTAAATTAACGAGGAATTCTTTCAAATGCTTCATAATCTCCAAACATTTCACCTGTAGTCATGATTGCTATTTGTTTTCTTACTCTAATTTATTATTCACTCTAATCTTAATATACCAAAAACTCTCCTTATTTAATTATATATATAGTATCAGAATCTACTTACCCTTACTTATAAATTATATCTCTAAATTTGTAATCTGAAGACTAAAAAGTAAAAAGCATAATATTAATTAACTTCTTATTTAATCCTTAAAAACTGGGATTCAATTTAAATTTATTCATACGATGTTATTCCTTCTTTTTATCTAAAATTTAAATTGCTGTATTATAATCTTCTTTAGCCAAAATTGCTAAAGAAGAATCAGTATCACAAACTGCTATATTTGTTCTAAGTCTCTAATCCAAAATTGCTTATTCTCCAAAAGTCTTCCAATCTTTAAATTCTGTTAATCGTACTAAACTATGAATTTAAATCATTTTAATATATATACCTCTTAATCTTAAAATCAGAAAATTTGGTACGAGTGCTATATTATGATTCTCTACCATAATCTACACTAACAGAATGCTTTCTTGTTTTTGTTTAATCAATCAAATGATCATTTGAATATAATGATACTTATCCACGTATTACTACATACATATTATGTGGTTGCTCTCCTTTCTCAAATATAACTGTATTCTATAATACTTAGAATATTAGATTTATACTTTTGAAAAGCTTTCAAATGATAAATGTTTCAAACAATAATCATATGCCTCATAATCAATATTCTCAACTTGAAATTATTAAAAAAAATCCACTTTCTACATTATGATTCTCATTAACTATAATATTTCTGCCTTTCTTTCTTTTATTGGACATTGTAAAATATTTATTAACAATGATTATTTCTATTACATTGTGAGTTCATTTATTGACTCAAGTAGTCTTGTCTAGTTACGTTTATTACCTAATTCAATAGTCTCCTATTATTATTATTATTAATACATAATTAATGGATATCAACCTAGGTGAAATATTTATTCCCAACGATTATACCTTAACTGATTTTAAATATAAAGACGTTCAAATATAACTTTACTCTCTCAATAGTGGTTCTACTGATTTTGATCTGACAGGTCAAATCATTTGGCCAGCTTCTATAGAATTAACCAAATTCATCATAGATAATAATCAATTATTTAAGGATTAAAATGTACTTGAATTAGGAGCAGGAGCAGGATTATGTGGATTTGTTGCCGCTAAATATGCAAAAAATGTCATTATCACAGATGGCAATTAAATCGTTTAAGATCTTATTACTAAAAATATTGAGCATCTCAAATTCAAAAATGTTTAAGGTTCATTATTCTAATGGGGATATACAAATAGTAAAGCCTTTCAAGATATCAACATTATCATTGGAGCAGATATTATATTCTGGCCTCAATCTATTGTACCTTTATATGAAACTATTAAATATTTCACAGAATAAAACAATAATATATAAATATTTGTGTCTGGAATCAAAAGATATTAACAAACAGAAGATGAAATTGATCATTTATTAACTTCAATCAAAAGACCAAGAGTTCTTATTAAATCAATTAATGATTATAAATAAACTGTGTATATTTATTAATTATGATTAAACATTATATTTTAACTATTCCAAATCTAAAATTATTGTTTTTTATAAACTATATTTTATAAATACAAACAATTATCTAATTCTTTATCTTATTACAATTTATTTAATGTTAAAAATTAAGTAAAACCAGAAATACTTAAGTATTTTTTTATACTTCACTAATAATATAATTTTTATTGTAAATCTAAGATATTTAATATTACTCATCAAGGCATTATTTAAATTTACCCATTTTTTATACAAGCATAAAAAGATAAATCTCCATTTAATTAAGATATATCTATTGAAGTCTATATTAAACTATACAATATTACAGTCTTCTCTCCTAAAAATGTTTCTACTTAATTCTTTACTTAAATCTTTAATTTTTACAAATTTGAAAAAATAATTGCTTTTTTTTATTTTTTTTTCCCTTCCTTAAATACAACTTTATTTAAAAATATATTTTACCTCCTTAATTATTTATACTACAAATTCCTACTTATGGCTTTCCTATCTCTCTTGGATATTAAAAGGTACCCCATTCAATTATACCTATTTCAATTTCCTAAATATTAATAAACAAATATATACTGAATTTTTTTCGTTTTCTAAAAATAGTATCTCAAAATTTATTATTGAGGTTTTCTAAAAAATACCTTCAAATAATATAAAACCAGAAGAAGATTTTGCTAGTTTAAAATTATGTGATAATTCAAAAACCCCATTCATAAGTTATGGACTAAATAATTCTACCTATCCATTTATCTATTTGAAATTTGGAATCTAATTATTTTTTATGTTTTAAGAATTATTATTTATTTAAGATTAAACTAATTAATTTTATTTTTAAGGTAAATTTAATTTTTTCTTTGGCCTTTATGAGTTAGTTTCAGGCTTGGATACTTATAATTTTTCTTATTTTATTGATAAATTTGATTCATTTTTAAATTCTTTGGTCAATTCAACTTATTTTATTTATCCTTATAATGTTTTATCTATTTATTTATATCCTTTTAATGGAAGGAAATCAGATTCATTAAATTATATTTAATTTTAAATTTCAGGCCACATTTTTGGTTATTCAATTTTATTTACTATATATTTTTGATGAGAAAATGATTGATTAAGAGATGTAAAAAAATCTTCAAATTAATTATTCTTTAATATGCAAAATTAATTGATAATGTCCTCTATTTAATTATCAACATTATTTGTATAATATTTTAAGCATTTCTTTTAAAACTCTTCATATTAGAAAAATATCTCAAAATTATCTAAATTAATTTCATCATCCTAAATATAGCTATCTATCTTTTTTTCTAATTCTTAAAAACATAAACTAAATATAAATTTACAATATACTGATATATTTCTTAAAGTTCCTACTTAATATTTTATTATATCCTCTCTTATAATTAATCAAACAATTATTCTAATTTATTTTCTGCTTAAGAAAGGTATTAATTTTTCCTTTTATTAAAATATTAAGATTAATTCTGATTTTTTTATTTTTCTATTAAGTATGATTTTAATTGATTGATGGTTAACATTTTATGTTCCTATTCTTAATGCTAAAGAAATATATTCCAATAACGAATCAATTTTTATGAAAGCTAGCATTTTTCATCAACACAAATTAATTAATCACTCAAAAGCATAATTAATATTAATTTAAAAGAAAGAATTATGTATAAATTAGTAGAATCCCTAAAATTATTATCATTATCAAATGATGAATACAATTTAGAATTTAATATTAGATATTTCAGCTTTTCAGATATCAAAAATAAACTAAATTCTCTGAAAATTAAAACCTTTGTATAAAAAAGAATCTTAAATATGATTGTACAATTATGATAATGATTCTTCTTTATTTTATATATTATTATTATATATCAATCTCCTCTCTTCCAATTTAAGACTTCTTCAACCAAAGCATCAGTGTAATTAATCTTATATCTGGAAAATATTTTCTATATTATTTAAATATCAAATATACTTGCAAATCTTCCTTGTCATCTTTATCATTTCCACCAGATTTTGGCTTTTCATTATTTTCTTTCATTTTCTTGAGTAACTTTTACATTAATTTTTCTATTAAAATCAAGTTTATAGTATACAATCTTCTTTTGTGAAATAAACTCTCTCGTCACCTTTATCTTTATCCTTCAAAATATCTGCAAACCCAAATCTTGGTTAACATTTTGGTATTCTTGCTAATGTGATTAAAAATTTATTCATAATATTAATATCTTAAATAATTAAATGTAATACTCTATATTAGTTTAATTTAGTAAATTTAATAGGAAACAAAATAAATGACTAAATAAATTAATATATATATATTTATATATATCATTCCTATTCAATTACTAAGTTTTATTTCTTTAATTCTTCTAAATCTTTATCAGATATTTAAATATAATTTCCTTTTTCATCTAATAAATAGTTTCCATTTTCATCCATAAGATATCCATCTTCATCTAATTAATATACTATTTCTTCAGCACTTTAATCTTAATGATGTTTTTATTATTATGCCAGATTTCTCATTTGGCTTGCTAAATAATATATAAATATATTATACTTCGAGATTTTCTACCTCCTGTTGCAACATTTTAATTCTTAAGTGGACCTAATTAATCTTTAGATTATAACTATGAATATTTCTTTTATTAATTTGAAAGATTTAAATTTTATTTCGATTAAGATGTTTAAAGTTATTAATCTCTATCTTTAGATTTTTACATCAATGATCGTAAACCACCTTAAGACTATTTTTAATATATATATTCAATTTACTTTAATTATTTCTTAACTATCATTTCTGTTTAATGATTAATCCTACTTAAAAAAATAACTATCGTTTTTAATCATAGAACTATCATTAGAAATTTAAGATTATGATTTTTTTAAATTTTAAAGTTATTTTTCATATTCTTATTATTATTTAATCCTTGATTATCTTTACTATTCTTCTTATATCTTAATCTATTACATTTTCTTTTCATATTCTTATTTCATTCTAACATCATCATAAAAATTAGGTATTGGACTTGCTGTTATTGGATTTGGTGAACTTTTTATTAATAATGGCATTTTTGATATATCTCTATTTTATTGTGTAGCTGGAGATTTTATTTCAGATGGTAATGGTTCTGCTATATTTTAAGCCAAATCAGTTCTAGAAGTCTTTTCATATTCACTTCTTGATGATTTATTGTTATTAACTTCACTACCTTACTCTTCTTTTATTAATATTGGTTTTATTGAACTAGCAGGTAAAGAAGAATGTTATTAATAATTAGGTTTTTGTTATGACCACTAAACAGAAAATTAATCAAAACTTAATTCTCTTTTTAATTTTGGTTTTTATTCAGTTTCTCCCAATCTCTTTTCTATGTTTTTTATACTTGCTGTCATATAATTTAAAACATCTTCTTATCTTTTCAAAATTTCAATCGGAACCTCATTATTATCAAATGTTAATTTTCTAACACTATAATTTGGAGTTTATTTTTAAGCTGTCTATTATATTTTTGAAATTGTTGAAAGTTGTTAATTTAAAGTATTTTCAAATACATTTATTTTTGCAATAGAACTTTCTTAACTTAATGCTAACTTTTCTAATAGTTTTTATTTTTGTTAAAATAATTTCATGATATTTTATTCCATTTCACCTGATTTTTTTGTTAATTCTTCTACCATAATAATTGTTTCTGAATGTATTTTTTTTTCAATTTATTCCATTTAAAATAAAACTGTATTAGTTGTTCGAGAAACCTTCTCAATAGCAGTTTGATGATGTTGTTAATTTTCCTCTTTCAAAATTTACATCTGTCTTGTTTATTATCTTTCATATTTTAGAACATTTTATACTATTGTAATTAATCGAATTGATTTTAAAATGCTTTAGTTTTTTGTTCTAAGAAATTCCTTAGATAAGTAATTTCTTCCCTAAATAATTTAAGAGGTGTATATTTCTCTATATTCAACAAAAGATCTTCATTTCTTTAAGCAACTAACAATTAAATTGAAGATATTTTATTATCTTGTAATTCTAATTTTTTTTCTAATCTCTAATTAAGAGTAAATAATTCTTGGATATTCTTTTAACATAAAATTAAAGAACTCAGCTGATCATCCATTAATCGTTAATAATTAATTTATAAAAAAATATGTCAATTAAAACTTCTTCTCTTTTTCATTCTTCTCAATACAATTCTCACCCACTTTGGTTTTGAGTTGATTGTTTGTTATACAACATACTTTAAACCTAAAGAAAAATGTTCTATAATAAATAAAAGAATAAGAATATTTTCCCAATCGCAACGTGATTTCTAGCATGCATCGAATACATTGAAATAAGCAAAAGCAATAAAAGCTGTATTGGTATAGATAGATAAAATAGACAATGTCATTAGAACAGTTCTCCATTCACCAATGCTGTGAGATTTTTTTGGTAAATTTCTTTAATACAATTTATTTCTATGATGAATAAAATAAACAAATACGCTAATTTAAATTTATCACTCCATATTTCAATGAAGTTGAAAATGTAGGTTAATGCTGCAGCCAAAGGGAAAATAGCTGCAAATAACACAATGTATCCATATTGAAATATAACTTCAATATAATCATCAAAATCATCATATTCCCAGAGTTCAAGTTCTGCCTAGAAGAATAAAATGAATGAAATACTATTCTATCAACAATTTTTTCATTGATATCTTCTTTTTTTTATAGATTTAATCTATACTATTCTTTTTATTTTTCTTATTATTATTTCATTAACATTGGCAATAAAGATTCAAATAAGACTCTTCTAATTTAATCCATAACAAATAATTTAATTAATAGATTTCTTAAGGTTGGGATATCAAATTCAATAAATGCAATATAAAATAAATGAAAGAATCTATTAATCAATTCAAACAAGAATCGTTTAAGAATCAAAGAGTTATAGAATCTCAAATTCGTTCTATGATTTTCTCTTTTTGTCGAATTAATACAAACTTTAGTATATAGAGTATTGATATAAAATATCAAGAGGATAGTACAAATATCAAGCACATTGGTAGTGTATTTATAAAATAGTAAGCCTCCTGGTTAATTTAATTTAGATGCAAAACTGATATAGAAAATACTGGTTTCACTTCTAATGAGTCCATTTATATTAAATACAATAATCTTAATTAAGCCAGCAATAATAAGTATTGGAATGGCTTCAAATAAAGATACCATATAATAGAATATTCTACTACTTGTTGGATAACTATTTTTGACTAAGCCTGTAATATAATTAATTTTAGGAGTGCCTTTATATTCAGGATTAAGATCTAATCGTTTAATATGTTATTATCCAAAAACACCCCATTCTATACTTAATTCGCTTTCTTTTCTACGCCAAGCTATTATAAAGAATGTTGACCAAACCATTGTTAAAACTGCATAAAAACTAGCTACATTAGTTATTTTAAAAAGAGTGCTTTAATGATCAATTATTAATGTTATGATTGCTGCAATTGCTAAATATTTAAGCATCGATTAATAGAAGTTCATAAATTCAAAATATACTGCTAAATTACCTCCAAAATATCTCTCTATATCAGAGACTGTATTCAATGATACTAATTCATCATGAATTGGAGTTACTTATTATAAATATTCTTCCGTTTTTAGAAAATGAATCATATCTAAATCTCCAATTTTGATGGTATGTAAATAATTATATATAATAAGTAATGTTTCTGATGGACTAAATATCTTTATGACTTCTGCATCATCATTTTATAAACAGAAATCACTTTTTAAGTCATATTTAAATTTTAAGTAATTTTCAAATAAAACTATCCTCTTATCTATTTAATTCAATGCTATAATTAATCTCTCATCTAAGATTTTTCTTATATTAATTTTCTCAGCTATCTTTCTATAAATTTCATGCATCTAAGAATTAGAACGATCAATCACTAACTAATTAATGTTGTTATACATACTTTATATAATTACATCTATTCTGCCTATTCCAATATTATCTTTGGGTCACAAATACATATGAACAATAAAATCTTATCATTTTATAGATTTCTTGTCTTATAAGATTGAAATCCATGATTCAATAATCTATTTACTATTTACTCTATCTATTCTTGAGTTGTATTCTTTGAGAATTACATCACAAATTAAAACTTTTTGTCTTAATATGACTGTTCCAATGATTATTTAGTAGGAAGACTAAAACTTTTATTATTTACTATAGTATGTTATCTGGCTAGTTAATTTAAAACTTATTTCATCTATTAAATTAAATATAAAAACTAATACACAAGTATGAATTAATTAGATGAAGTAGTCAAATTTGCACTTTATTAATGCAGAGCTAGAAACAATCCTATAACTGAAACACTTGCATCTTATGTTGCTCAAACTATTCTTAATAAAAGTATTAATCATTTCAAAATTTCATTAAGGAACAAATAAATTTTATTTAGAAGAAAAACTCAATGAAAGTGAATTGAATGAACTTAAAAATGAAACACTTAATAAACTCAGTAATTAAAATGCACCAGATTTAAAAACTATTCAATTACAAATATGTAACAATCTATCATCCAAAACAAGAATACGATAGCGCATATGTTGAAATGGAATTATAAAGACAAGAGAAAATCAAAAAGTAATCTAATGAAACTGGAAAATATATTGATGATGTTGTTACTCTTGAAATTAAAAATGCCAAAGATTTTGAAGGTTTGACCACTCTATATACTAAAATGTTTCATTATTTGATATATAAAAATAAAGAATTAATTGAAGATCCTATAAATTTTGATGCATAAGCACAATTTAATATGGATAAAGGTATTATTCATTTTATCATTATTTTCTTTAGAAGTAGGTGCTGCTTTAGAAAGTGTAATTCCAAGAGCAGCTCTTGGACCTTTTGTGTCTTTAAATCCTTCAGAAAAAGTTACTTAATTAGTAGAATTAGCTAATCTAGTAATAGGAATTAGATTATTTAATAAGAAAATTGGTAAAGGAGGAGTTTCATTAAGTTCTTTAGAAGATCTTACTAAATATAATGCTAGAGAATTAGCAGAATAAATTAAATAAATTGCTTTAGAAACTATAGAATAATGTGAAATTTATACTACTTTCTTTATTAATCAAGATAAATTCTAAATGAATAATGATGATATTGATAAATATAAGGATGAATTAGCATTCCTAAGATAATATTTATCTTATATATTATCTTTGTAAGAAGATATAGAATAAAGTGAATCCATGATTGAATAAAATAGAATTAGATTTATTAAAGAGATGGAAGATTTAAAAAAATTATTAGAGCATAAATCATCTGCCCCAAAAGAATAAGTCTATCCCAAATTTGCATTATTAGCATAAAGTCATATTGGTTTATTTGAAGATAAATAAATATCAATTGAAAGAGTAGAACTTTTTCATTTATTGGTAGATCTAAGAAAAATGATGAAACTTTCAATGCCTTTAGCAATATAAAAATAATGTAAATAAATGGAATCTACTTAACCTGATAATTTATCTTTAATTAATTATCAACCTGAATCAGGAGTATAAAGATTATTACCTTAAAACACTCCTGATTTTATGTAAACTTAATTAGATTATTTTGGATTCTGTATTTGGTCTGTTGTTAAAAAAAATGGTTTGTTAATTCCAGGAAAACCATCTTTAGGTGTTTTCAGATATAGAGATAAGAATTGTGTATTTAGTAATGAAATTGCTATTAATGAATTCTTATCAGAACCATAAAAATATTTAACTGGAGTTATTGATATATGTAGATAAAAACCACATCTTATAAGATTATTTAGAGTAGAAGAGAATTTTAAAAATCTTAATCTTAAACTTACTTTTGAAAGTGGCAGTTTATTATCTAATAAATTAATGGTTGATAAAGATGTATAAACACCTGTACATTTTATTGAAAAGAATCTTGATCCTAATTATTGTTGGAATGAATGGGAATTGAGAAGAAAAGTATTATATTCTCTTATCATTTCTAGGCTATACAAATGGCTAATATTAGAAAAAGATAAACTAAAGCATCTTAAACTATTTTAAGTAATTTCAAAGTTGATAGTGAAGTAATTCTATTTATTGTATAACATTAGGCTTAAGTTTATGAAATGAAAGATTAATCAACTTCAACTGGATAAAATAAAGGATTAAATCCATTAAGACCAAGAAACTATATTGTAGGACTTAGAGATAAAACATATAATCAACAATGAAATTAATGTATATTTTCAGAAACATTTAATAAATACTCAATTATCTTATTATCCAATTTTATAATATAAAATCATATATACATACATATGATGAAATTATATAATTTAATTAATTTTTATATTATGTCACACACTGAATAATCAGAAATGCATTCTGGCATGTAAATGATGAATATGGATATGAGAATGTATATGATCATTAATTGGGATTATCAAGTCAGATTCGTCTTTAATGAGTAAATCATCAATATTAAATTTATAGTTGGAAATCTACTACCCAAGGTGAATTTGTTGGAGGACTATTTGCTACAATGTTTTTCTGCGTTTTTCTTTGTTTACTTCCAGTTCTAAAAGGATTCGCAGATAAATAAAAGTAATCATCCATTTTATCAGATCTCTTTTTTTGAAGATTGCTTGGCAATTTTTAGCTGCCACATAATCCTCGATAACAATGTTTTTATTAATGACAGTCAATGGTAAATTTATTTTAATAATTAAAGGTTGGGTTTTTCTTGCTATGGCTTTAGGTTTCGGAATTGGAAATTATATATTCTATCCTAAAATGCCCATTTGGGAAAAACATTAAAGAGAAGATGAATAATAAGTCTTAGACAGAGTAAATTGATTTATTAATTATTAATTTTAAATTTAATCAACATCATATACTAATACTTTTTTTTATTTTTCAAGAAGAAAACTCTATAAATATTTTTGCAATAATCTCTTGATTTATTTTTTTTATTATCTTGACCCTTTTTTGATTAATTTATATCAAATCAATAAACACAATTATTAAGTATCTAAATAATGTTTTCTATAGTTAATTAAATTTCTTTTTTATATTGAATAATTAGTAATTACATTAATTTCATCCAAACTATTTTATATTCTGTTTAAAATGAAATATATAATTAAAATTTAATAAATTATTCTCTTATAAAATAGCTCAAATTTTAGGTATTTCTAACCTAAATTAGATTATAATATAAAATTTCATCATTTCTCAAGATATAATATTCAATTAAACATTTAATTATATATCTTAAAGGATTGAAAAAATAAACTTAAAACGGGATGAAGTAAATATTTTAAGAAAAAATAATTAAATATTAAAAGAAAAATTAAAATATAAAATTATTTCATTATTAATATAAAAAAGATTGAATTAAGAAAGAAACTCATCTTAATCATAATTTAACTAACAAAAAAATGAATATAATTTTCAATTTAATAATTGACTTGATTGATAGAATTGATATTATATTATTATTTGAAAATTTTAATGGATTAAAATTTAAAAAAAAACAAGTGAGAAATAGTATTTTGTATTTGCAGTGGCAATGAAAAAAAAAGAATTAATATTCACTTAATTTTTGTATATAGTTCTCTGGGAGCTAAAGTCAATTTAGGAGGTTCTCTATTTATGTTAAATTTTTCTGCATATTTATTGATAAGATCCTGATCAGGATTACCGAAACGATTGATAATATCTTCTTTCATACGACCATATTTGAGTTCTATTTTGGTTTTTCTGAATTCATCTTCATTTTGAAAGAATTCATTTGATGTTATATGAGGCTAACGAATTAATCAATAATTTTATATACTCTATTAATTTTGCGTTGATTAAAGTCTTTACTTATGGTTAAGTTTTAAGCAGGTGATCGTTCTAGTAGTTTTTTATTATTTATTTTCTTATCTGTTTTAATACGAAAATTGTTATTTTAAAGTGGAGGAGCAAATTGCTATGCAATTTATTAATTATCCCATTCATCTTCATTGATTTCTAAGACTCTAAAGTTGCTTCCTTGAAAATATTATTATAAAGTAATTCCATTGATTCTTGGAGCTTAACTTGATTCTTGCCTTTGATGACTTTGTGATATCAATCTACGCTTTTCAATTCTTGAGCATTTAGATGTTTCAGGACGCATACCTAATTCTTCCATTTTTATTATTATTAATATTATATAATAAAATCATGGCAAGACACCCTAGTCCAAGTCATCAAAAAATTTATCAAAATTTTGCTACTTATATGAATATTTGAATAAAATCAATTTATGAGTGTTTAAATTTTCTCATGGTTTATAGAACCCTAATAAAACAAATTTAAAGTACTATGACAAAAATGACTTAGAATTTTTAATTTATGAGATTGTGCCGTCTATTATTTCTATCTAATATATTTAATTTAAAATTTACATCTTTTCTAGGTGAAATTGTCATTTATTCTATTATTTATTCAACTATTTATTAAGTTCAGCATAGAAACAATAAACAAAAAGAATTAATAGTCTATTATTTTCTATTTCAAATTTAAAATTCTATTAAAATTTGTTTTCTAATTAATTTAATTGATTGCTATATTTTATTTAATTCTATAATCAGATGCATAACTTTAGATTATTTAGAAATACTTCAAAATAAACATACAATTATAAATTTTAATTCTGCTATTCAATTCATCTCAAGCACATCTTAAAAATGAAATTAAAAAACAAAAACAGTTAAGAAATGTCTGATTGAATATCTTGTCATAAAATAATTTTAATAACAAAAAATTCTAAATTTTATAAATTATAGTTTCAATAATAAACTAGTCAATATTACTGAAAAGTACTTAATCCTTTGAGATGTTGAGGTCTATGTTAAGCAAAATCTAATTAAATATTTTCTTCAATATCATCACAACTATTCTCAGTAGATTGATTATAAAATTTCTTTTCCATTACTCCTCTTTCATATGTTTATTCATATTGTAAATCTTAGAAATTTAAAGGCTCAAGATTTTCTTTATTGATGTCACTTGCTGCTTTTTGATGCTAAAAATAAATTATCTTTTATAAATTACTTTACGATCAGACTAAGATTATTAAGCAATTGAAATATTAGGTTATTGTCGATTAGGAACTTTTATACTTTTTTTGAAAGCAAATTGATTAAGAACCTTTATACGTACTGAAAAGCTTAGAAATTCTTCAATCTGTCTTGTACTAACTCTTAATTTGAGATCTATTTCTTCATTATAATTTTATATTATTATTCTTGCTCTTTGATACTCTTAAAAAATCTCATATAATGATAAACAATCCAAATTTGGTATTGTAGCATATTAATCGATTAATTATTCTATTTCTTATCTAACAAATACTTAAAATCGAAGTAAATCTTAATAAACTAAATCTTAAAATATTTTATATTTAATATTTTTGCATTCCAATAACTTTAAACCCATTAACATAACATTCTAAATTTTATAAATCCAAATATATCTTAATTTAACATCTTCAGGTTCTTCAAATGGATATTATAAATCTTTACAAGATTAATACACCAATAAATTAACTGATAATTTTTATAAGAATGAGTAGTAAATAATACAAAAAATTTTAGCTTTTAACTAACATGAAACTAATTGAACTTCAGCTTTTTAAATAGGATTTTTAAGTTATTCATTCATTTCAATTCTTGTTTTCCTCTTTTCTTTTATTTATTCATTCTTTCCTTAAAATTAAGATGTTTGAGTTAGTGGTGATTATTATGGAAAGAAACTAGATGTACTAGCTTCACAAATCATTCTTTCTATTAAAATAAAACTTTCCTTATTTTCATTCATTAATTTATCTAACCAATAAATTGGAGGTCCTCTCAATTAACTACAAATTGAATCATCAGAAATATTTGCATGTATCACAAATAATAAATTTAATAAGTGTTCTGCTTTAGGTTAATAATTTTCAACGTTCTCTTTTGATCTTAAAAGATTAAAAACCACTGCTGGAAATCTCTTCATTAAAGATCCAAAATATTCACAAGCTACATCAAAATCTTTTTGAGATTTAGGTTTCAATAGAATTCCTAGTGATTCTAACATTTCATCCTTTGATTTAAATAACTTTGTAAACTTTTAAAGTAACGACATTTAATTAATAAAAATAATATCAGTTATTATCATCACTACTTCTTGATTTTGTCTCATATATACTTTCATTATCTTACGATTTTCTATTTAATGAATTTAGAATAGGTATAATCTAATTTATTTCTTTCTACCAAGCAAATCTAATCAAATATTTTAACAAATTTACAATTATTGAAAAATTTATTTATCCTCTTATCCATTATTTGACATTTACCTATTCAATGGAAAATCAGCTAACTTATAATCAATTTATATAATATACATTTATATCCACATCAAATATTGATTGAGCTGATAATAACTTTTCAATTACTCCAAATTTCTGTCTTTGTATTACTGATTATGCTTGCTATATTTGGTCCTCTATTTTTTTACTTATTTCATCTTTTTCTCCCTTATTCTATATATTCAATTTCTAAATTCTTTAGATATCATTTCTATCTAAACTCTAATTTATATTCAATGAGGAATTATTTTTTTGAGAATAATTATTTGATTAGTTTTAAATCATATTTTAATTTTATGAATTTTCAAATTAAGATAATTTTCTATTTGGTTTACTTTCTTTTTATTAATCAATTTTAATTTATTAATTTTCGAGATCTATTAATTCTTTTTTTTCCATCTAATCAGATTAATAGGAAGAATTGTTTTTGCCTTTATATTTATCATCAATTAGACTATAACTAAACCTTTAGAAATTAAAATTATCAGAATCATTCAATTATGATTCAATATTATTTTTATTTATTTAATTTTTTTAAGCATTTGTTGATCTTTTCTATTCATAGGAAAGATCAGAAATATCTTGAGCCTATTATTATTGATTGAAACTCTTCTAATCAAGAAATGACGAAATTTATTCATTATCTGACTATTTTATTAATCTTATGGATTATTTTTTTATCGAAGTTTTATTTGATTTATCATACTTAATAATCTTTTTAAATTTTCTTTAATTTTTATCTAATGGTTCTTCTACGTCATCTAAATATTCAGCTGATTGCTATATTTGTTCAGTTAATACTTAAGTATTTGTATTGTTTTAAATATCTTCATCTAAATTTTGTAGATCAGTTTTAGAAGCTTTCTAAGAGGAAAGAGTTTCAAAACTTTAATGAACAGTTTGTATAATTTGATCAGCTAATTAATCAAATTGTTGATCAAACTATTCTCTTTTTTTTTTATCACTAACTTGTGCATATTCATCAATGATTTATTATGTATAATTTTCAGGAACTTTAATTTTGAATACTTTCGTTTTAATTTTTTTAACAATTTCAGAGTATTATTGAGTCATAAATTGTATTCTTGAAATAAAAATAAATATAATTACTTGGTTTCATAATCTATTTGATCATCATTTAAATATTTTTCCATGTATTTTAAGAGTCTATTTTGAATTCTTTCATTTGGTATAACTTACCTGGCAATAATCTTTTGATTATCCATCAACATAATTTCTATTCCAATTTCTTATTCTATTTATAAATTATAGTAATGAATTTACTATCTGCCTTAGAATGATTATCTTATGGTTGGGTATGAAGAATTATTTATTAAGTTTCGAATTCTTTCTATGAAGAAGCTGCCTTCAATTCAGAATAATACTTCTTCATATTTTTGCTATTGGATAGTTTTTTATTTAAGAGATAAGCTGCAACTTTTCTTGAAAAATCTGTAATTAGAACTTTAGTCTGTAAATCAGTGAGTTTAGTAGTATTACTTTCAAAGCTAAGCTTAAATTAGAATCAATGATACAAAAAGACAGGTGATTTGATCAAATCTTTATACTCTTTGACATTATATATCGAAGAATGATGGTAAAAATTCTTGATCTCATCCTTTTTGATAGTATGTAACTAAAGTTATTATACAAGTTATAATTACACTTAATAGTTTAAACTTGCTATTTGGTTTTTTGATACGACCTGAACTTGGTTGATCAGGTTGACTAAATACAGAAATTTAATTAAATTTAATATACCTTGCACTAGATCCAATGTATCGGGGCTATTTGTTGGGTATATTTACTATATCACAAGAGAACATAGATGGAAAATAAAATTATATTAATATTTAATTATAACAAATATATTCTTTACAGAACCTAAATTTAACAACATTCCTGAAATTCGTAAGTTGATCACACCTCTCCAAGGTTGCCAATTAAATTATAATCCAATATAAAGCAATGAAAAGTTCTGGATAAGATCACCATCACTTTAGAAGAAAGTTTTACACTCATAAAATTTTAATTAGTAGGAATAAATTCGAGATGATTCAAAAACAATAGTATAATGAAATTGATATCCAGAAAACAGATTAAAATTATATAGGAAACTTGTTAGGAAGCTTAGCTTATCTATTCAAAATAAGATAATTTTTAGAATTTATATGCAAAGAGAAACGAGAATTAAGTTAGAAGCATAAATTTAGAATGGTAGCTATTAGAATGAAATTGGAAAGAAGTTTATCAAGAAAAGTGAATCATTTGAAAGAAGAGAAGAGTTAGGCTAGAAGTAAAAAAAATTAGAAGTAAAAAATTTTGTAAAAATTAAGATAGAAAACAGTTATTGAAATTAAAAGTATCTTAAAAATTAAAGAATTATATTTATAATATGAGTGACAAACATGAAGAAGGTTTGAAAAAATCTAAAACTTTGAAAAAAAATTAGTTGTTAGGTAATTTTGTATATCAAAATGAGATAGATATTTTGATATAAAAATAGAGAGCTAAATAAGTATCTGAAATTGCAAATAGATATAAAAATTTAGAAGAGAAGATAAATCATGTTAAAGATGATTTTAAATAGATAGATTTATCTTTTGATTTCTGATAAATGACAGCTGAATTAATGAAATAATAGAAAAATAATTATTATTTGAATAAAAACTTAATTAATTTAATTAAAATTTAAGCAAGATCGAGAAGATAAAGAATTTTAATTATTTAATAGGGTTGGATAGAGAATAGAAAAAGCAGAAAATTAATAAGAAAACATGATAACAACTTATTGAAGCATTTTGATTTTATATGTAGTAATTTAAATTATCTAGAAGATGAGGATAATTTGACTTTTTTTATATATGAAATTTAATAATAATTTGAGAAATACAGACAAAAAAATGCATATAGAATGAAATTTAATTTATTTACTTTTTATATAATAATTTTTTCATTATAAATTGTAAATTCTATAAGAATGCTTTAAAAAAAACTTAATCTAATGGGCTTAGTAAATGATGATTTATTTGAATATTCTAAAATTTTTAATTTAGAAGAAAGGAAAAGAAAATATGAAAATGTTATAAAACATACAGGAGATTAGAGAATTTTGGTTGTATTAGAAAAGCATAAAAAAGCTTCAATTAAAAATTAAAATTTAAAATAAGCTCAATATTAATTGTAATAGATATACATAATAATAGATTTGCAATAAATAAAAGCAAGACTTTGGTTGAATTTATGGAATATGTTAAGTAAAATGCAGGAATCGATGTTTCAACAAGTATATTTTTGTATTGCAATAATTAAATATTAATGATGAAAGGTATAAAATTTTAAATATTTTGTAAGCTGAAATGACAGTTGGAAACATATATGATTAATTTAAAAATAAAGAAGATTAGCATTTATATATAAAATATGCTAATTTTGAAACATTTGGTTGATTTGAATGATTTATGGAAATATATATATGTCATTTAACTTTTTTATCTTATTAAGCTTAATTATTGATTAAATTGTGATAGGCAATAATACTCCTCATTAATGATGCTAAATAAATAGTCAACATATTATCATTATTTTTTGTAGTGAATGCTGAAACAACATCTTGTGCACCTAAATTTGGTAAGTAATTAAGAATTTCCTATTTTTTATTATAAGTAATTACTTATAGATTATTAATGATAAGTTAATTAGGTTTGACTTTGCCTTATTAAATAAGTGTTAAATATTGTTAAATTTAAGCAATTTTTTTATTCATTCCTTTAACACCATTAATTTTTTATTCAGCTTTAGCAGAAAGTGATTATGTATCAACATTATTGATTTCTCTTAAAAGTTATTCAACACCAATTTCTTCAGGTTCAAATGCTTAGACAGTAGAAGGTATATGAACAAAGTTTTAAATAATTTCACCAGATTTAGAGATTTCATCAACAGATGTATAAGCTTCAGTTGGGAGTGATAATAGATCAAATTAATGAACATCAATAATAACAAAAATTGGAGCAGATGTATACTTATAAAAGATTTAGTTGATTTGAATATCATTAGGTTTAAATCTAGATCCTGTAGAATACCATCCAACAATCTTTTCATTGATATTAATCTAGAAGATTAAATAATAGATATACCTTTCTATGTAATTCGAATAGTGTTTCATTATAAATATGATCTAAATACCAGATATTCTAATCTTTGGGATCTTCTTCAAAAGGTAAAGCATAACTATTAGTGATATCAATTACACCATCAGGTTTTCTTTCACCTAAGATTCAAATTACATTAATTACCTAATAATGCACCTACTACTCTTGGTTGTTGTGTTTTAGATATTATACGATTGTAGTGATCTACTACTGATATTAATACAAGTGGATGAATAATTACAAGAGGTGGTTTATTGAGGTTAGACATATTTTATTAATTATTTAATTACATTCACTAACACCAGTATATTTATTTTATATAACATTCATCATTTCTATACATTCATTATTCACAATTATTCTCAATTCAACCATCACTTTTACATTTAATTATATACTTTTATTTCATATATGGCATCATTATTTCCAAATTACAAAGATTACGATCCTCAATACTAAAGGTATTATCAAAAACTTACTAAAGAGCCTTATTTCTTAGATGAAATCACTATGGAAGAAGCCTAATCTTACTTTTATGTATTTACTTTTAATACATAATTTAGAATAACATCATCTGTACTAATATTATTAATTATACCTTTAAATACATCCTTAGTCAAATACATAAGAACATAACACTAGAAACTTATTTAGTCCTTCATACTATTTAATTCTAATAAATTAGAACAAGAATTCCGCAATATGCTATTATTATTACTTTTGATGGAATCAAATATGCTGGAATGCTTTGGGACACACTCAATCAAATTATATTTCTCATCAATCGAAATTCTTAAATTGAATCTGCCTTTACAGATTAATCAATCTATCATATTTAATCGTATTCTAAAGATTTACTCTCAGAAATTGCTGCACTTTTTATAAGGTTCTTAAATAATCAAGATAAACATTCAACATAAATTTAGTTCAATTTTCAATAATTCACTAATGAATCTCTTATTAAATGGGCTATGCTTAAATAATATCGAAACAAATAAATGAAACTTAACGGTGAATCCTATTCCAAAATTTTTGATGATGATTTCTTAAAGGATATTAACCAATCACCATCAAATTCAAGTTAATAAACTCTTTTAGAACTTTAAAAAGTTATTAATAATCAGTCTAAGTCCTTTTCACAATTCTCTTAACCAAATCAACTAACATAAAACTAAAACAAATAAACCACTTAAAGATTAAGATAGAGATCCTTATTCAAAATTTCAAATAAGAATGATTTGAGTTAAGAATAAGTATCAACAAAACAATTAGAACCAAAATAAAATGATTCAAATTTAAAATAAAATTAATTACCCTAATTAAACAAATATCCGAAATAAAATTAAAACCCTTAAATTATTTTATAAGTTCCCTAAAATCATCAGATTGATTCTCTCAATGAATCTATCTCTGTATCAGATTTTCTAAACTATATGAATAACTTCAAATAACACATTCTTACTTAAGATCTTAAAGATTAATCAAATCCGACTACTTATCCATTTTTTAATCCTGAACAAGTTTTAAAATTAAAATTGGATGATATGGAAACCTTATTATAAGATTAAGTGAGATACAAAAAAAATACAATCATGAAACCAACTTAAAAATTGTTGCATCTTCTAAAATACTATTCAAAACACAATCCATATCAATATCAAATTATAGTAAATAAATATTCTGATTTTATTCATGAAAGAGTACTATATATAATAATTATTTAAGTTATTAGAGAGAATGGGATTGCCTTAAACTGTAAAAAATGTGGAGAAAGACCTTTTTTCATTTTCATCCATACCTTAATCGAAAAAGAGAGAAATCGATCAAAAAATAATTTAAGACTAAGTTATTAATCTAAGATTTAATTAAGAAATCAACATGTACGAATATAATCAGTTGAAAGATTAATTAATTCTATCTTAAAATCTAATGGATGTTTATTTTAACTATTTGTAGGAAACATTTTAGAGAGTCCTTATCCTCCCTTTTGGATTTTATTAGATTTTGAGTGAAAATTTTTTAAAGTAAAGAGCAATAAATTATATATATATAGGGCAAAGAGCTATACAGATTAATATTAAGGAAGTGGAAAGACAATCTTTGATTAATTTGATTAGATTATAATTCCAATAAAATTGACAAAACATGAATATGTAGGAGTGTATATAGATTTTAATTATAGAATAATGTATTTCATTAACACATTAGCAAGAAGTGATAGTAGAAAATAAATTTATAATTTTAGGAAAGTTTCCATTTCGTGTAGAAATATTAGATATGCCCATAATGTAAAATATAGTTAGATTTATAAAGAATGAATATAATACTAAAATCATGAAATCGTTTAATATTTTATAATGGAGTAATTTTAGTTTGATAACATTTGTAAGAATTTGTGGAGTTTCAGAATGAATATGCCCAAAATATTACTCATAGTGGTTTAGTACTAGTTTATATAATTGATTCAATTTGCAATCATGAAAATGTATTGGGAAGCATTGAAAGATTGAAAATGTTTAAGAATAAAATTTTGGCTTAGATTGAAAAATTAAAAATTGAGAGATGATATTAGTTAAATGATGAATTTTTATATTAATAATACTGATTATTAGTACATTTTTATGAAATTATGAATAAAGAGTTTAATAATAATATTTATGAATTTAGATATGCCTGTGCATGTATAAAGTAATTCAAATATTCTATATTGTTTCATAGATATGAAATTAGAAGACTTCGATATAATAAAGCATTTAGGTAAAGGTGCATATAGTGAGGTTGTATTGGCTAAAAATAAACTCACTGGACATGAGACAGCATTAAAGGTTGTAGACAAAAATTTTCTGATTAAAGTATAAGTTTGATAGAAGTATAATAGGAGAAAAAAATGCATCATGCATGTATAGAGAGAGAAGTTTTAATTAATTTGAGACACAAAGGAATCATAAAGTTATTCAATTCATTTGAGTAAAATGATAAATTATATTATTCTCTTGAGGTGTTAACTGATGGTAATTTGTTAGAATACATGAACAGTAAATAATATTAAATATATATAGGGCATATTTTTAATGATTCAATAATCAAATTCTATACAGCTGAATTATTATTAATTCTTGAATATTTACATTAGAATGGATTGGTACATAGAGATGTAAAACCAGAAAACATTCTTTTAACTAAAGATAAACATTTAAAACTTATTGATTTTGGAACAGTATTTGTTTATGATCAGAATAAGATTGATATCGGAAATAAATTAGAAGAGATAAGAATTTAATATTAAAAATAAAGATCTCCTTCTTTAAATGATTTTGAAAAACCTTAAATAAGATATTGTAGAGATTCTAGTTTTGTTGGTACATCTGAATACTTATGTCCTGAACTTATTGATTATAATGTAATTGGCCCATAGGCAGATTTATGGGCTTTAGGATGTTTCATTTATCAATTATATACAAATAAAACTCCATTTTATTCAGAGAATGAATTTGAATTATTTAATAATATAAGTTAATGCACATGGACATAAGATTAAAGAATACCAGATGATGCTATGGATCTTATTAAAATTTTACTTGAAAAAGATCCAATGAAAAGATTTTATGGAGATTTAGAAGGTAATTAATATATCTTATGTAATAGATTCATAATATAATTATGATAATATAAAATAACATCAATTTTTTAGAGGAATTAATTTTAAATAAATATGGTTATAGGATGTTCCATTTGTTGTTAATAACACTTAAAAAAGAAATATGAATAGAATTCAAAGTGCATTTATTGATAAAAATTTATCTTCTCATGAAAAATTTGAACATAGAGGAATGTCTGTGTCAAAACATAAATCAGATTAAACCATTTTATAAGGATAAATAGATAAGGAACATGGTGTATTATTTATGACACAATTCTCACTTCGACATGCAAGTATTGTGTGTTAAGATGGAATTACAAGTTTCATTTATATTAATCCTTAATTAAATAATAAAAAAGTATTGTTGATTTAATAATATTATGTTAGACCATAATACCTTTAAATTAATTTACATCCTGTAAATTATTAGGGAAAGGAAAATTCATTGTTGGAGATAGAAACAAAAAGAAATACATTTTTAAATAAAGAGAAAATAATGTTCCAGCTCAACAATGGGTTAATGTAATTAACAAATATATTAAATCTAATCATTATTGATTAGAATTTATTTTTATATAACAAATAAATAATAGCATTTTAATTACAATTAAAATCTACTAATATATTAATCATAAATTATGTGAATTCATATGGTAATGGGAAGATTACTTAATTAGTTAGAAATATTCTTATTAAGAGATACTTCACATGATAGAGTCCAATTATATCTAAATAATTTTAATATATATACCCATCATTAATTTTATTATCTTTTTACTTAAACCTAATTTTTATTGAGTTAAATAAAATCTTGCTTGTTACAGCAACATTTCATACCTTAGTAACTGCAATAGTCAATGCATTAAATTCAGATTTATTTAAATCATCTACTGTTTCTAATCCAAATGTATTTTTTTTATTTTTAAAAAAAGCATCGAAAATAAGCTTTCCATTTTGTATTTTGAAAGTCTTTTGGGTTTTTATACTTAATCAGTCAAATGTCTAAAAATATATCATAAAAGACTTCCTTCAATAAAATGAAGTCTTTATTTTTAAATATTTGTTATTTTTTAAATTCTATTAGATTAAGTATTTAAGGTTATACTCAATTTGTATTTACTTAGATATTAAAAAGGTTTATATGTAAAATGAAAAAGAAAATTAATACCAATTAAACATATTAACGTTGTTGGGATGCAACGAACCTGAATATAATTAATAAGCGAGAAATAAGTTGAACTCTAATTAAATAACCAATATAGTTGAAAACTTAGTTAAGCATTTAAGAATCCAATACAAAGCTTTCATATAATATGAGGAGATAGATGATTAAGTTTTTTTAATAACATTTCCATTAGAAGTGCATAATTCTTTATGTACATTATAATTTGAAATTAAATTAAATTTCCCAGAACTCAATACATAGTTTCTAATATTCTTGATAGGCTAAGATGGAAGGATTTTGGTTAAAGAAAAAGTATATTCTATTATTATAATTTAATAGAATATTAGATTATAATTATCCAGATATATGCTTAGATTGAATAGTGGGTTTAGAGTTGGAAGTTTTTTCATTAATCCTATACACGGATATGTAGGTTTAAAATTATAGTGTTAAACTGAGATTGCAGATTTGATTTATACAGATTAAATTAAATTCGATGAATTCATCAAATATGTGGATAGTTTAATCACTACAGGACTGCATTCTTTAAGATTTCATTATATTAGAATATTAATTTTAATAAATCATATTAAAATAACAGATTTGAAAATATTTGAATAATATATGGATCATAATAGATATGCTGAAAATGAAAATAAAATGTGGAGAAAATTACCACCTGAAATAATCAATATTTTGTAGAGAATCAAAAATACACTTCAAAAGTATATGATTATATTATCTAAGAAATTTGAATCAGCATTTTGATTAAAAAGAATATGAATCATATGGACCAATTATATAAAAATAAGTACTAACTGATAGCAAAATCATAAATCAAATATAACCTGTATCTGAAAATGAATTATCAATTGATAAAAATTAAGAAATAAATTCAGGAGGATTTGGTACTATTTTTGGAAAAGATATCTCATATATTATGGAAAATGATAAAGATTAGAAAAAAATTAAAAAACATTTAGCAATAAAAATTGACTCAAAAAAAAATGAATAAAAAGTTTAAAAAGAATTAAAAATTCTTAGTTTTCTATCATAAGAACAAATATTACATTATAAAAATAGCTAAAGAGTTGAATTAAAATATTTTAAATTTTCAGGAACATGTCCATATATAACTTAATTTTATAATGTTTAAGAAAGAACTGATATTCTATTGATGGAAAGATATTACCATTCATCATTGAATAATTTTTTAAAAAAACAAGAAGAATCAATAAGTCTTTCAACAAAGCTTTTTATAGCACATAGTATAGCAATGGGATTAAGATATTGTCATTATTATGGGATTATTCATATGGATATAAAACCATCTAATATTCTTATATCTAGATCTTTATTAGCCAAAATTACTGATTTTGGAGAAGCTGTTAATAAAAATATGGAATAAAAAAATTACTCTATAGGACGAACTATGCCTTATTGTGCTCCGGAAATTATGAGGCCTTTCAATATTAATAATATTACACCTGCATATGATATTTTTTCATTTGGTGTGATATTATTTGAATTGATTTTCGAACGCAATCCATTTGTAAAAATTAAAAACTATTTAATAGAATTTTTAAAATTAGAATCAGAAGATTTTAGAAGAAAAATACTTAAAATAGAGCTACACTATAAAATATGATGAAGAATATGATAAAACATTAGGGCCTCAAAAATTGATGAAATATTTAGGGAGATTATGTCTAGCTTGTTTACAACCAGACCCAAAAATTAGACCTAATATTGATAAAATAATTCTAATTTTGAAAGACAGTCTTTCATACTTAGATAGAATGTACTGAAATACTAAAAAGTAGTTTTCATCTTAAGTTTATTAACTGGATTTGATGAAAACTATTTTGATTTAATCATTTAATATTATAACAAATTTAAGTTTAAATTTTATGATTTTTTTAATTCAGAAATCAATTTTACAAATTGTTTAATAGAGAGTTCTCTATTAATCAATTTCATTAATTTTTTTTTATTTTACTTTCTCTAACATTATGGCATTTGATCGAGATAAAGTGATGATAAATTTGAGTATTTTAATACAAAAATCGAGTAACATTTAAGTATAGAATAAAAACAAAAGTAAATATAGATTAGTTATAAACATATGATTATTAGTGAAACCATCTTATTATTTATTTATAGTAGAATTTCAATGAACATTTCATGGATTTTTTTTAATAATCTAATTATCGTTATTGAGTCAAATACTTATCATATATAAATATAGTTCTATCATAGTAATGTCAATTAAAGGTTCAATTATTAAGACACAGAATAAACTAAAAAATTATACGATTGGTAAATAAATTTTGGTGATTATTAAGATTAATTAACCTTTGATTATTACAATATCAGTAATAATTAATTAATAAATCAGTAGTGAAAATTTCAAAAACCTTAAAAAATATGATGAATAAATGTTTATTAATAATTAAATGATTAAAAATATAATTGATAAAAATGATGAAGAGATTTATAATATTGATTTGAAATGTCAAAATTTATCTTGTAGTAGATTAATAAACTCTTCTTCTGAAATTTTGCCATCATTATCTTAATCACATTCAGCTAAGAACTATTTCCAAATATCATCATCTACTCCTTCCATAATATGTGATAACTCTTCTTTAGAGATGTAATTATCACCATCCTATGATATAATATTTAATTACAATATCAAATATTTTGAAGGTTTATTTGATTTTTTCAATGGTAAGCAATTTCTCATATTTCAAACATGCCATAATAAATTCAGTATAATCTATGTATCCAGATAAATTAACATCAATTTCAGACACAATCTTATTAATTTTAGTTTCCATATTTTCAATTAATCTATCTTTACTTTAAACTTTTTATTAAAATGCAGCAACTAATTCTTCTTTAGATAGTTTTCCATCATTATTTTTATCTAATTATTTAAAGAGTTCTTAAATTTATTCTACTTCTTTTGGTTAGATCATTTAACTAGCCATAAATGTAAGTAATGCTTATTTAAGTTTACTCTTGGCACTAAATTCAGTAAGATTCTTTAAAAAATTATCATCTACTAAATTTTATTCTTATCCTTATTGCATCCAAGGATCATCTAAAACTTATTAGGCTGAATATCTTTTTTCTACATCTTAACATAACATATTAATAATAAGATTTTTAGCTTCTTTTGATATTATATTCCATTCAGTAGTATGAAATGGTATTTTACCTTTTAATATTCTATCAAAGATTTCATTTTCATTTCTACCATAAAAAGGTGGATATCCAACTAAAAGAATGTATAGAATTACACCACAAGACCATACATCACATTTTTCATTATATTTCTTTTATAATACTTCAGGAGCAATATAATAAGGCTATCAATATTAATTAATAATACTGTTCCTAATCTTTTAGACATATTTTAGTTTTTATCGAATTTTCTAGATGTTCCAAAATCAATCACTTTCAAAGTAGAGTATTAATCTTCAGATGCAAAAATAATATTTTCTGGTTTAAGATCTCTATGTACAATATTATTTGAATGACAATAAGCAACAGCTGATATCACTTATTTCATATATTTAACTGCATCTGCTTCACTGAAACTTTTAGCTTTCTGGATTCTATCAAATAACTCTCCACCTCTTAAATATCTAAAATTATCTTATTATAAACTTTACTCTGTTATTAAATAATAGAACTTCTCGTCTTCAAATAACTCAAAAAGATTTACAATATTTGGATGATTCAAATTTTTCAAAATATTCATCTCAGAAAATAGTTTAGCTTATTCTTCCTCAAATAAACAATCCTTTCTTATAGCTTTCATAGCTCGTTACATTCCTGTCACTCTATGAGTTACTATTGATACTTATCCATAAGCACCTATATAATAACTATCAAATCCTAACCTTCTCCCAATAACTTCCCTACTGAATAAGTACTATATATTGTCTCTCTTTTCATTGAAATAAATAATGATGGCTATACTGATAATGTAGGATAAGCTATTCTATATTTATTTTACTTACAAATTATTTGTTTTGGTGGCTCCTCAACATTATTAATTTCTTAACCATTTTATTACCCTACTTCTTAAGGTCGATCTAAAGGCTTCTCTATCATATTAATAACCTCTATCATTACCTGTATCTATTGGTTGATTACGACAACAAGTATTCCCCATTTAATATTTTTTTAATATGTAAAGAAATCTATTCATTCAAACTCGTTTCAATTAATCACCTCCCTCCATGTTTTTACCATACCACTCTCCAATAAGAAATCAATCTCCAGCTAATTCCTATCTCTACACTTAAGGGTCTCCTACTTCAACACTTATAAATGATCGATATTCATCATAACCTAGAATGGACTCTACTATCTACTGTAATTATTCAATTTTACGCGCAAATAGTTAAATCCAACGAACCACAACATAGTTCTTACTTTCCAGAATAATCTAATATTGTTAGACAAAAGAGTTATTTTTAAAGACCTAACAATTATATTGAACTCAATTAATCTAAACATAGCCCTAAAAAATAACAAGAAACTTCTTCTAATTCTCATAAAATTATTTTTAATGATGGATCTATATACTATGGTGAAATTAAGGATTAAATGAGACATGGAAAAGGGGCACTTTACAGTTCTGACAATCAATTAATTTATATCGGTGAATGGCAAAATGAAAAATATCATGGATTAGGAATTTTAAATAAAGGAAATATAAGATATAAAGGTCATTTTGAAGAAGGCTATGTAGAAGGCGAAGCCATAGAAGAAAGTAAAACTTTCAAATTCTATGGTTTCTTTAAAAAAGGCAAACGAAATGGACCAGGAACTCTCTATGCTAGGAATTAAGTCACATAAGGTTTTTGGAAGGATAACCTACTGTAAGATGTTTGTTGAAATTATATGATAAATCCAAATGTTTAATAATTTTTAATAATTCTCTTTTAAATGAATCATATTGAATATCCAATCAAATGGACTTCTAAATTAGTAATACTTGTATAAACACTCTTATTCAACATTAATAAACCTAGAATTAAATACTATTTTATAATCTGAACCATCTAACAGAGTAATATAATTTATTAATCTAAATATTGTAGTTGTGTAAAAGTTGAATTCTTATACCTTTAAATTGATTAAGATTTTAATATAGAATTTAGAAATAGGTGGAATTTATGAGGTAATAAAACATTATCAAAGTTATTTTAAAAAATAAGATGAGTATGAAAATTTAATTATCAAGTACTTTTTTTGAAATGATAATAAAATTGGATGAAAATGGTATAAAAATTGGTGATATCTATATTATGGATGTAGATAATTGAGTAAAAAGGAAATGCATATTAAATTTAATGAATTATTATAAAAATGATAAAAGACATTAATCTCAGCCTTCATTATGGAGTCTAAATTAACCTTAAGTTAAAGTTAAATTGATGCCAAAAATCAATCACAAACGACTTGTGTTACCTGTTATTACTCAAAATCCTGGAGTTGGATATTACTCTCCAAATCTTCAGAGCATATATTCTAATCCAAAAGTAACTAGATTAAGAAGTGTAACTAAAATACCAACAGTTCATGATGTTTCAAATGAAAGGATAAATGTGTAAAAAAGCCATAAAAAATGCTCTTAAAAATTCACAATCTTAGAAATGCTTCTCAAAGAGGTTGATGAAGAAGTAGATTAAGACATGAGAGACAACCCTGTATATATTTATATAAAATTTATAGAAATGTGTTCAAACTCCACTCTAACTATAACCATTAAATGATAACTTTATTGAATAATTAAAGCACATCAAAACTAATCTACAAAAAGTTCTTAGAAAAAAATTATGAATTCATTTTATTACTATATTCAATTTAAAAATAGATTATAAATCAAACATCCTAAAAGAGTAATACATTATATAATATGATTTTTTTATAGATCAATCTCCTTTTTCTTTTTATTATTATAATTGTTGTTTCTCTTATCCAACTTCTTTTCCTTTCTCAACATAATCTTCTAAATCTGAATATGCTTCTATCCAATCTATTAACAAACAAAAGAATGCTTAGGCAATATCTGGTGTTCTTATATAAGATACTTAAATCTAAAATTTATGGTATTCTTTTTTCTATCATTATAATATTATAAGTATTATACCAAATAATTGTTCATTTAAGATAAGACTTCCTTCTTTAAATCTGTATCATTTTATTTATCAATCTTACAATATTCCTATTACTTTTTTCGTTAATCATCTTATTAAGCTTCATTTTAATCTAATGACATTAAATCTAATTTTCCTTCAGTGTTTACTTCTTAAGATTTCAATGACTAATAATTTTAAAAGAAATATGCTGTAATTATACTAATTATTGATATATCTTAGTATGCATTCTTTTTTAAATGTCTACTTAACCAACCCATAAAAATTGCTATTACATTTATTATATTTAATTATCCATCAAGTTAATGAAATATTCCCTTAAGATTCGAAAAAGTGAATTCTTCTAATTCATTTGCTAAAGTCAAAGGATCTTTGAAATCCCAAATTGCTTCCTAATCAAGAACCTTTTTATTTAATTCTTCTAATTCTTTCAATACTTATTAATAAATATTTAAATAATTTGTTCCTTAGAATAGATCATCATTTAATGATTTTATAGGATCAATAGGTTGTTTTAAATAATGTCTAATACAATTATTTGATGAATCCTCTTCTTCATTACTTTACCCTAATTTACCTAAAAATTCAAAGATTTAATCCTCCTTTTCATGTTATTTTTATTCATCCATATTTGTCTAATATTTAAACTACTATATACTCTTGGTTTGGTTTTATCACGTTTTATTTCTTCCAATGGTCTTGGGGTACTATATTATTTAGGCCACTTAGAATCATGCTTTGTTTTACAATGAGTATAGAAAGCTGGATATGAAAGATAAGATTTGCAACATTCTAAACACTTCCATTCTCCATCTTCTTTATCATTCTATTTTCTTTTTTATTTTTTCTCACTCATTAATTATAATTATATTTGTATTTATATCAAACCTTCTAATGTCTGATTTATTAGAATTATTTCATTTAATTCAAATGTTATTTTTATTTTACACAATAAAAACTTATAGTAAAAAAACTAATATAATATTGAGGTATAATTTATCTCTTTTGTAGAAATTTTATATTATACTTAAAAACTAATATGTATTAATATAATAAGAAGTATTTATATAACTTAGATTTAAATTAGATCTTTGTAAATTTTAAAAGTCTCACTAATTATGTATCATACTAATTTATTTGAGTATGTACTATTAATTAAACCACAAATTTATAATCATTTATTTAAGGAGTCTTAAGTATCGATTCATCCTTTAAAAATAGATATATCTTACTTCTTGAATTCTCTTTCCAAATATTGTTGCATTTACAATAATAAATTTTAATAGAAAAAAAGAAAATAAATAATATTGAGGAAATCTTGAGAATTTATTGAATAATATATTATGTCAAAAGAAATTTAGCATTTATAAAATTTACACAAGAATTATCCAGATGTTCGAGAATATTTCTAAGATAATATTGTTCAATAAAGTATTATTGGCTTTAAAAATACATTTAAATATAGGATAATGATGAAAAAATATAATTTAACTTTTCCATAACATTAAAAAATCCTAAGTCAATTGATAAAGGCATTAACAAAAAGATAAGCATCTCTTTATTTTACATATTTTATAGATTATGTTGAAAGGTTCAGTGATAATTATTAAGATGATGCTAAAAAGAAAATACTTGAAATGTTAAATTATATAATAGAGAACTATTCTGATAAAATGTCAAAGTTTACCACAGAATAAACCGAAATATTATAGAATGAATATCTAAAATCAATAGATTTGGAAAATTTTATAAATTAGTTTGTAGATATGTAATGGCTAATTGATGATGTATGGAAATATATTTAAGAATGTATTGCTAATATAAAAGAGTTAAAAATCTCAATTATTTAAGAAACAAAGGAATTTCAATAAAATGTTGATTAATATAATATTAATTATAAATTAATAATCTCAATGTTTGAAGCATTGAAATCAGAACATTAGAATAAAAAAAGAAAAAAAAAAAATAATATATTTGTTATTAAAGAAATTTGCAATTGGATTGAAAGAAAAAAAGAATATGTTTAAGACAACTACATTTTAATTTTAATTTTAAATCTATTAAAGATTAAGCATGTTAACTTTATAAATTCAAAAGTAAAAAATGAAAGGATTAATAAAATTGAAAATAACATGGGGAGTGAGAGTATTCATAATATCAATTTCAATAAAGATACTTAAAATTGTTAAGAATAATATTTATCATAAAAAAATTTTGATTTTTAAGATTAGCCTGAGAATTAAATAGATGAAGAGATTGATTCTTACAATGATGAATTTGTTTAAAATTCCCCTTCTTCTAGAAATAGTCGATCTCAAAGAAAAATCTAAAAAACGTAAAGCAGTTTAGAAGAAGAATTTTAGAGTCTATTCTTAACGAAATGCCAACAAGAGTAATTATTAGAAGAAGAACAATCCAATAGAGATCAATAAGAGAGCTAAGGGTTATATGAAAGTAATGATCATGAGATAAATTAAATATATCATGAAGGGCAATTTTTAGATGATTAATTATAATGACACATGGTTAAAGAAAAAATTATTAAAATTTAACATATATTTAATTTAAAATAATCTTATAAAAATAGAAATAAAAAGTAAATTTAAAGATTTTTTCTTAAGTTTAAAAAAACATCATGGGAACCTTTTATCAAAATTGAGTGTAGAGAAAAAGTTGAAATTAATTGTTTTCTTTACAAAAAAGGATCTTAAGATATGAGAAAATATTATAAACAATTTCCCAATGATCAAATATGAAGATCAAATCTGGAGTAGAAATAATCGAATAATTAATTCATAAATTAATTCGATCAATGAAACAATTGAATAGAAATATTTATATTGGTAAATGATAACTTGATATAAATCAAATATTTTGTTAAAATTATTAATAATAATATACAATTAAATGAAAATCAATCATTTAATTGAAGGATTAGATTAGGATAAAAATGAATGAGTTTTGAGATAATAACAAATAATTTTGATTTAAAATAAAAATTGTAAGATCAAAAGATATTATAATAAGATTTTTATGAAATTTTAGAAATTTACACAATAAGATTGAATATTAAATAATCATATCTAAATATAATTTTACTTGTTTTTCAAAATTTTATATTTTTGAATTATATAATTTAGCTTGAAATTGAATAATATATAAAAAGATTATTTTCAGGTAAGTTGATATTTATAGTGAATCTATTGATTTGGGAATATTAAATAACATAAAAAATAAGATGATATTTAATAGTTCTTATAATAAGGTAAGAAATTTAAAATATTGGATGTTATTTTAATAAAATATAAAAATAAATAATATATAGATAAAGATGGGAGGTATTTGTTCAGGTGGAAAAAGGAGAAAGTAGAATCCACTGTAAATTTTGATGATTAATAAAGTTTATCATTATTGAAAGAAAGACCATTAAGTACCTTATTAGATATGTGGCCAGCATCATATTTATAGATGCTTAAATAGAAATATTTGGCAGTGAATCCAATAGATGGAATGGATCATTTAAAATTTAGAACATTGTTTCCAAAATTAAAATCATAAAGTAATAAGTTTATAGGATTAGGAAAACTTATTGCATGTTTTCAAATGTTTTGATTTTGATTAGAATGGAAGGATAGATTTTAGGGAACTTTGTATAATGTTGAGTGTAATATTTAATTCTGAAGAGAGTGATAGAGCAGAAATTTTGTTAGCATTTTATGATTTTGATTAAGATGGTAAATTAAGTAAATCAGAGATGGAGTTTTTCATTTAAGAAAATAGATAATATTTATAGAAGAATGATTTTGAGGTTTAAGAAATGTAAAAAGAGATGTTTAAGATTTGGATAGATAGTAATTTTAATTTAACAAGGTATTTTGAGATATTTGAATTATTACCTGGTCCTCTTAAAGAGAGAGAGAGAATTAAAGAAATGTTGTAATCAACATCGGCATCTTCATAAAAATAATATGTAATAAGTTATAAATGGTGGGAATTATGGAGATTTTATGTAAACTTTAATTTTGCCAATAATCCAAAAAAAAAGTTAGCACATATATCGATAGTAGATATAGAAGAAATGGAAGAATAAAAGATAATAGCACCATAATAAGATGATTAAGGTGTTTAAGGTTCTTAATTTGAAGAGAAAAATGAAGATCTTTATAATCCAAGATTAAATTTGAATCATGGATTATAAGAATCTGTTCATGGTTCTTAATTTTGTATAATTGAGAATTAAACTTCAATTAGACCAGGTCCTATTGATAATTCAGATATCTAAGGAGAATATGAAGGTGAATTAAAAACTAATATATTAAATAATCATGATTATTTAACATTACCAGAATCTGCTTGGTTTTCATTAGTTTAATGGTATGGATGTTATAATAATTTGGCATATAAAAGAAGATCTTTTCATGATGAACGTACTAAAACATAAATTGTTGATTTGTATCCTCCTGTTCTCTAAGGATATATAACTACAAATAAAGGAGAATTATCATTTAAAAAATCATATAAATTTATGGTTAATTCAAGAAAAACTATGCATAATGTTTTTCATAAATTAATTAAAAAGTTTAAGATTAAAAACTTATATGATTATTAATTATATTACATGAAAGTAAATGAATAATGGACACTTGTTTAAGATTTAGATTTAAAATTATTAGATTTATAAATTGTATCTGGTACTTTTGTAACTTTAATCTTAAAAGGGATAACACCTAAATCTATATTTTAATAAGTTGGATGTGGTTTAGGTTAAATATATGATGTTTAACATCCTGTTTCTAATGAATGGTTATTATGTATAGTAAACGGATTTTCTGAAGATTTTACTAATCTTAGATTTCATATCTAAAAAGAAAGTTATTAAAGAGATTTTTGTATTCCTTCTACTGAAAGAACTCAGAAAATGTATCCTCCAAATACTAAATAAAAATAAGAACCAAAATATTTTTATATTCCTCATCATATAGGTTTATTAAATTTGGGAAATACTTGTTTCATCAATACAGTTGTGTAATGTCTTATAAATACTCCTGTTTTTGATGATTATTTATATAAATAAGCATTCAAATAAGAAATTTTAAAGAATTCAAAATTTTCTTATTTAATTGATGAATTATCTAAAGTAGCAATTAAATTGAAAGATTAAAAAGATAAAGCATTTGCACCTGAATAATTTAAAAAAGCTATAGATTAAAATTTACCAGCATTTTCTGGATTTGAATAACATGATGCTTAAGAATTCTTAAATATTCTTTTAGATACAATGTCAGATGAATTGAAAAAGAATGTATAAAAGAAATCAATTGGTTAATCTAATATCAATAATTCTTTTGAATAATTTGAAACTGTTGTAAAGGAATTATTTACTGGTAAAACAGTCAACACATTAATTTGTTAAAATTGTTAATATAAAAGTTAAAAATATGAGGAATATTATACTTTAAGTTTACCAATTCCGATAAATGATGAAATACCTATATTTATAATTTTGTTTAAAAAATGTTAATCATTGTAGAGTGAGATTCCACCATTAGATAAGTATGGAATTAAAGTTTCAAAATATGCATTGTTAAAAGATTTATTCATTGCAATTGAAAAAGTAACTGGAATATCTTAATAAAGATTTGAATTAACAGAAATTTATAGAAATTAGATCCATAGATAATTTGGGAATTTGAATCCATCTATCCCAATTAGATAGATAGGATTAAAAGCTAATTAATTATTGCATGTATTTGAGGTAGCTAAAGTTGTTAAAGATGCTGAAGATGAATTTTAAGAATTGATATCTATGTTTACATATAGGAGAGACAATTTCTAAAATTTAGATTATGTTGATATTGAAGATAGATTAGGAGATTGGAGACATGGTTAAATTATATCTATAAATGAGAGAAATCATGATAAAAGTTATAAAGTATAAATAAAAAAATAGAATGGCCAATCATAAAATTCATAAACATTTTATTCTTATTAATTGTAACCTTTTAGAAGCAGAGCATAGAATTTAAAAAAGTTTAACTTAGTTACTGTTACTAATCGTTATTACAACAAAGCAACTGAATAATATGAAAAATTCTCATTTCCTTTTTTCATTTTAGTGCCATCATCTCATATTACATTATAAGAGTTTTAGGCTTTGATATATATATAAGCTAAACGATTTATTGATTTTGTAAGTTTATTATAATTAATCATTAATAGGGTTATTTGAAAAAGAAAAGTTGTATATAGAAGATGTAAAAAGAGAAGGTACAATTTTATAATGGAGCATAAGATATTTAAAATGACTTAAATCATTCTAAAAAATATAATGCATAAAGTGTTTATTTAGATTAAGTTGAAATAAGAAAAAGTAGTTATAGATTAACAGAATAGGATTTAGAACCTAATTAAAAGAAATTGAATAGACCAAATTATGAATCAATTTAGGAAGAACTTAATTTCATAAAATCAATTGATTTCCCTTATAAAATTAAAATTTTAGATCAAAATATGAATTGTTTGGTTTGTGAAAAGAGTACATTAAATACATGTCCTAGATATAATGTTTGTAATGGTTATTCTTGTGAGATAGATCCAATGTTTTTACATTTGCCTTAGAATTATTGCATAGTATTGGATTGGATAGATTCTTTAGCATTTAATTTATTTTCAACAGTAGTGTCCCATCATGAGACATGTTAGTAATTAATTGAGAATAAAAATAATAGAAAGGATAGAGTAACACCAGATTAATGTTTTTCAATATTAACATAAGAAGAGAAAGTTGAAATAAATTGTGATAATTGTTAATCAAAATAATAAGCAATAGTAAAATTATCATTGGCACATACACCAAATATATTGATATTACATTTGAAACGATTTTAATATAGAGATGGATATTTAGAGAAGATTGAAACAGATATAGATTTTCCATTAAGATCTTTAAATTTAAAATAATGGTAAATAGGATAGAATAGTCATAAGGTATATGACTTATATGCAGTAGCAAATCACTTTGGAAATGGTTAATATGGTAATAATCTTATAGTTAAATTAGGACATTATACTTCTTACGTACTAAAGAATATAGATTAGAAAGATGTATGGATACATTGTGATGATGATCAAATTAAAACTTAAGCACCAGAAAAGGTTATGTCTTAATATACCTATCTATTGTTTTATAGAATTAGAGAAATACCAACTAGTTCCTTATTAAATTTAACTTATAATCATTGATATATTTATATTATAATTTAATGAGTAATAATTTAAGCACTTCTGAGATATATAATAATGCTGCAGCTCTCTAGATGCTTTTACATGCCTTATGTAAATCAGTATCAAGCACAGATGAAGAATTCAATTTAAAATATGATATCTATGAGGCAAGTCAAATTAAATATTTTAGAAATTAATGAGAACCTATAATAGATGGGGATATGGTACCTAAATGACTACATTTGCATCATTAACATATTACTGTTTAAAAGCAAATGGTGCTAAAAGTAAATTAACTTTGGGTTTTCTGTATATTTATTGGATAAATCATTTCTTTACTGTTGGCAGTTTTATTGGAGTGACTTTCTCTTTACCTTGGGCAATGAAACATTTACAATAGGCAGATCCTCAATCTAATTTATATTCGCAATTAACACAAATCTAAAATTTAATAAGAAATCGTAAGGATGAATCAGATAGTGAATTAAATAACATGTTCTATGCATTAAGAGTAATCAACAACGAAGTAAATTTACATTAATAATATAATCTTACAGAAAATTATAGATTAAAAGAAAACTTAATTAGTCGAAAATGATTTTTTTGATAAACATCCAGAATATGTACCATAAGTAATTTAGGAAAATACAAGACTTCCTTATTTAGATTATTTCTTAGTTCGATTTGCTTATTTTACATTCACAAGATGGATTACAAGAGTAGGATAATTTGCAGGATTTATACAATGATAATTTTATTGTATATAACATTAATACTCATAATAAATGCTAAAAAGAAATTCGACCCTCTTTCAGTTAGACCTAGAACTTTTGATAAGCATATCTATTGTATTGGATGTTAAGCTATTATTCGAGAGACTCTCAAAGAAATCAAATAAAGCAGAAGTGACATTCTTATTGAAGATGCTCTAAGTAAAGTATGTGAGAAGGAATTCATCGGATATGCTTATATTAATATAACAGTTTAATCTGATGTAATGTACTTATTGGTGGATGAAGAGATAAATTGACAGATTATCTTATGAAAAGAGAATCTAATGAAACAATTGAAGATGAATTTTGTGTCTAATATACAAAAGCATGCTTTGAAATTAATCCATTAGATTTATAGCTGATTTGAATATCTATTAAATTTATGAATATCTATCATTCAATGATATTATATGCCTGATGAAAATGGATATGCTGATAAAACAATAGACTTAGTTGAGTTGTGATTAAAAAAAAATTAAATTATTTAATGTGAATTCTAATCAAGTTTATAATTAAATTTCGACAATGCCTTTGAAGGAGGAAATAAAGGTTCTTGAATTAAATGTACTCGATTAGAGAACATTTTTTTAATGAAATAAGAAGTGGAACAATATAGTAAATATTATGCAAATAAAATTGATCACTTATACATTTAAACTTTTCAATAGAAGAATGATATTTCACAAAAGAATTCAATAAAGGGTTAATCATTAGAATGGTTCTAATTATTTGGTAGTTATCAATATTCTTTCATTAATTTGAATTACAGTTCAGTCTTTTTGATTCCCTATTATTGGAAAATATTTTAAAGAATCTTAATACTAATTCCAATATGTTCAATGTTATAGATTATTAAATTGATCTAAAAAATAATTGTTTTAAAATAATTAATTATAAAAATTAAACAATTAATAATCATATAATCTCTCGTACTTGTTCCTTAAATTGTTAGGGTAAATTATTAAGTAAATTTAGTCTTATAAGAAGTCTATCGAAAGAACAATCAACAGTTATTTTGCTGATTATTAGATTATTTAGAAATAATAAAGAAATTTTATGTTGGGATCAATGAAATAAAGAAAAAGATTCTAATGGTTATTTTATAATTGATTGAAAAATAAAGAAGGAAAAATTAATGAATTTAGTTATATAAATTAAATGAAATCATAATGTTACTTACATGGTTATCCTTTAGAATGTTAGAACTAGTTGTAAGATCTTTTCAATTTGATTCGTGAAGGAGAAGAGTTCATAACACTGGAGAGAATCTTCAAATTATTGCGTGTAATAATAGCAACAATATATTAAATATTAGGCTTGGTAATATGAAGTTCCATTCTCGAATTTATGTAAGTTGCTTAGGAAGGCAAATTAAGCATGTCATTTGAATGCAAAGAATTATGTAAATGAAATGGCTTTTCATTAATTGGTTCATAATCCTGATATACAAATGAGTTACAAGCCAAAGAAGGATGAGACAGTTGGTACTCCTCCAACTTTATATGGATTATTTAAGAGAATAGGTGAGTAGATTGAAAGGAAGAGATTACAAGAGAAGGTGAACGATGAATCTATAACGAATAAAGAGAAGTTTAATTTTATGCTTCAATTATTGTAAGTGGGATCACCGAGAAATGAGAGAGAAAATTCAATAGTAGTAGAGAAAGTGAAGAGTGTAAGGAAATTTAAAGATGATGAATTTAAAATGCTAATAAAGCCAAAGAAAACAAAGAGAAAGGCAGAAAGTATGTAGGATCCTCCTTAAGTAAGTGTAGAAACAAAGTTTACAAAACTTCCGAATGCAACATTACATCTTCCAACAAGTAGAATAAGAAGATTACATGATCGTATGATGTAATAGATGGATGAAATAAGAATGGATCCAAATGTATAGAAGTTGAGCAATATAATTCATAAATCATAGGGAAACCTATCAATTAGGTTACCATAAATTTAATATATATGAAACCACAACGATATTAAATGGATTTTAATCTCTCAAAGTCATATTTCCCATAGAAAATACAAGCAAATAGAGAGTCTTCCTCCAAAAAGCTTAGCAATTCAGAAGTAAATGCCGCAATATAAAAATACTTCTAATTACTAAAAAAGAAAGATGGATAAGTTTAACATCCTCTAATCACTTCTAGTCAATCTTCTAAGATCTTAAGTCAACTAGTGACAAAAGTATCTCCTTAATTAGACATTCATGTACCTGTAAAACCACCTACTCCTACTGGAACTTAATCATATCGACCATCTACTGAAAAGAAACCACATCATCGTCCTTAACAATCTGTTGGTTAAAGCAAAGATCTTATACTTAAAAAGTTATAAAATGCATTGTTTTAGAAACCTAAAACATAATCTTAATAAATTACTCCCAAAAGTGCAGGAAAAGGCTCTCTAAGTAGTATTAACAAATATTTTGAGAGTACCAAAAAATTAAATGCAGATCGACCATAATATTATATTAGTAAGATTAAGAGTGCTTTTACTAAACCTATTCATGATGATTATTTTAGTAGAATATATAGAGAGCATTTTTTTTAAACATATTAAGGAATATATGTTGCTTCATACTTATCACCAGCGGATCCAAAAGATCTTAAAAATAAATAAGTACGTCTTAAATAAAAAGATATGTATAAAAGTATGAATCTAGTTGTTCACATTTAATAGATAAAATTAGTATCGTTTTTGACTTAGATGAAACTTTGGTTCATTGTAATGAAAGTTTAGCCATACCTAGTGATATCATTCTTACTATTTAAGTATCTCCAAAAGAAACAATAAAAGCAGGAATCAATATTAGACCTGGAGCTATAAAATTATTAGAATTACTAGTTAATGATTTTGAATTGATTATTTTCACTGCCTCTCATCCTTGTTATGCTTAAAAGGTTATTCAACATTTGGATCCAAATAAAACATTAATATCTCATAGCTTATATCGTGACAATTGTATAATGACTAATGGAGGAATGTACACAAAAGATTTAAGAATATTCGATCGTCCTTTAAGTCAACTTGTTCTAGTTGATAATGCTTCATATTCTTATGCTTGGCAATTAGATAATGGGATTCCAATTATCCCCTTTTATGATAATAAAGAGGATAGAGAATTAGAATCACTTCTCAAGTACTTAAGAGGAATGCAAGATTGTAGAGATGTCAGAGAATATAATAAGTTTTATAAACATCTTAAATTCTTAGAGAAAACCTTAAGTTGTATACCTTCTAGGATCCATAAGGGCCTGGAACAGTCTTTGAGAAATTGTTTCAATAGAAGATGGAACTCTAATGATATTTTTATTAAAATGAATAACACTTTACTTCCCAATTTAGATGATAAACCTTATTATCACATTTATGAACCTACTCTCAAAGAGACACTTAATGCAAGTACTCTTTTACTACATTAAATAACTTAGTTCATGTTGAATCATAAACAGAGTCTCTCTCTCCAAGTGATCAAAAATCCATCTATATTCAAAACTTAATCATGAGAATGTTTCCAGAAATTCAATTACGATAACATAGCATTCTCATTTGTTAACATTTGTATACCAAAACATATACAATCTTTTTTATGAATTCAAAATAAGTACCTTATAGCTATTGTTGTAATCGACCCCTCCAAGTTCGTTGCTATCCAATAGGCTTTGGCTTAGTCTTATGCTCAGCAGAACGATGTTCTAAACCTGAATTAAAGGCTTTTAAATTCAGTGATAATACACCTAAACTAGAAGAAAAATTGAACAACAAATTGTCCAAACTTATTTCTATGGGAAAACACAAACATGTCAATCTAATCTAGTAGAAACAACGTTTTGGATTAGAAGAGTTTAAAAAACATGTCACTGAAACTCCAGACACAGTTGTTGTTAAACCTCGTTCACAATCATATTATAAGGGAAGTTCAAATTACTTGAAACGACCCTATAAATTATAAAAATGGATCCATAATTGAGTCACTACACATAATTCTTCATCGTTGTTACCAATCTCTCTAAGACCAATCAAATCACTTCTGAACAGAAGGCTCTTCTCAAAACTAGTCTCACTCACAAAGAAGATAAAATTTGTCGTGTTCTCATTCAAAATAGTGGTCCTGGAAAGTATTCGTGAACCTCTCATTTTAATTAGGGAAATGCAATTACGATAGGCTCTACTAGATTATTTAGATGAATAAAATAAAGCTATACAAAGAAGACGCTAACATAAATCCAAGACTGTTCATTTTATGAAAGATCTTACTACAGATGAAAACAAACAATAGAATGAATGTAAGCAAGAATAATAAATACCCTAACCTTTAGCAGGTGTTGGTGCTCTAATAATTGATTAACTTACAGAATTGTTGCATAAGCATATAGACAAACATAATTTACTTGTACCAGAGGATAAAGATAAGTTATTGTTATTATGCAATTTAATTCTACAACTTACATCTGAATAAGTAGATCCTGATAACTAGCATGCATAAAATAAACGTCAAAATAATAAACTAGCAGAAATTAGCGAGAAAGATGCCGATTCTAGTGAAGAAGATGTATATGATAAAATGAAAAGGTAAATAGATGACATCTACAAAGAGTTAAAGAATATTTTTACTGGCAACTTACATACCCATCTGTTACTCATGTAAGAAGACATTTCATATGAAAATTTGTATTAAGTACTCAAATTCCTTCTCAAAATACTTGTTGATGCTGATGAATTTTCTTTTTTCATTCATCGAGACAAAGATTGGGAAGTCTATACATCTGCAAATGATTCTATTAAAGATATCACTCCTGATGAAGCTTAAAAAGTAACTGATGAATTAACTTATATACGACCTACTTATATTCATAGAGTAGATTCAAAATAAAATCAATATCCTTAAATCTAAGATACCTGTAAAACTAACTCATATGCATAAACATCTATTGTTAAATTTCAATTAAATATCAAAAATTATGAAGTTCTTTTCTGTTTGCATTGGGCAGACAAGGATAAAAAGAATATTAAAAGAAATTTTATTAAGTAATTATCATCATTATTCAATTTTAGCTTTGCTAACATATATGGTTTCAATTTAGATGTTACACATTTGGCTTAGTTCTTAGTTGAAACTATCATAACTGCAAAAGTTTAATTTTTCAATCCCTTACGATTTGCTGATCAAGTTTAAGACATAGGAATTACTTTTATGAGGATTTCAAGATATTTATTGATTGAAGGAATTAAAAAAGTTTTGAGTTCTAAATTTGAAGTTGAAAAAGAACAACAGAATTCAAATGATAATGGTGTTAAGAAAGAGAATAATTCACCCTAATTAAAGATTGAATTTAAAGATTCAAATTCAGTATTATTGAGAATCAATAATATGGATCTAAAAAATGAATAAGATTTACATTTGTACTCACTTGTATGAATTATTTATATGTATAAATTAGATAACTTAAATTTAAGAAAAATATGATGGTTATGTAAAATTATGTTATGAGAAATCAGCGTTTTACAAATATTTTCTTAGAACTACAGATTCTCTATTATTTGATTTTAATAAGCAAGGAGAATTGATCTTTTTAAGTAGACCTATTTCTAAGTCTTTGAAGTAATTATCAATTAATTTATAATGAATAGACAGAAATATAATATTAATTTTGATCCAAAAGCCATTCTATACAATAAAATTACATATTAGGATATATTTGCTTAAAATAGTATAATTTCAAATATTGAGATGAATATTTAGAATATTCATTAAAACAGGAGAAACTAATATTTGAGTAATTTGGAAATTCCTTAATTTGAAATATTTCTTAAAGTTATAGATAATGATTTTAAAGGATTTACAGTGATATTTCATGAAAATGAAGCAAGAAGACTTAAATAATATTTTATGACTTTGAAGATAGATAATATGACAAATGATGTATAGAAGGAAGCCGAAGTAAATAAATCATTTGAAGAAGATATATAAAAATAAATTCTAATTTAATATAATAGACATTAAACTTTTAAATTTTTAAATTAGTTAGATGAAACATAAGATGTGGCAAATTCAATGATAGCACTATTCATTCCTGAAAATGAGTTATAATAAATTCGACATCGTAAAATCGATATGAAGGGATCTGAATAAAATACAAAAGATATTTAAATCGATTAATGGGTTATACCTCCATAAAAAAAAAAGAAAATTGGTTCTAGTGTATATATAAAATATCAACAGTAATTAGAATAAGTTGATAGAAATTAATTCAAAATTTGTGAGAGAGATTCATAATTAGATTAATTTGAATTCAATATATTAACTTTAGATTCTTCATAAGAGAAACATAGATTAGTATATAGTATTTTAGAGAAGAATGGATTTATTTCTTAATATAAAATGAATCAATAATGTTTAGCATAGTTTTTAAGTGTTCTTTAAAAGAAATACAACAAAAAAAGTAATTCATTTCATAATTATGATCATGGAATATCAGTAATGTAGAGTGCTCATTTTATGTTGTAATGTGGAAAGGCTAAATAATTAATTGATGATTTTAGAAGAATGACAACTATAATTTCTGGACTTTGTCATGATGTTTCACATTCAGGAAGAACAAATATATTTATGATAAATAGTTAATCCAAATTAGCAACTAGATATCATGATTCAAGTGTAAGAATATATTTTAATATAGCCTCTTGAATAACATCATGCTGCTACTACAATATTCATGCTTAAAGATTAATCATTAAATTTTCTTAATAGTTTAACTAAAGAATAACATTAATTATTCAGACGCATTCTTATAGATAATATACTTTATACAGATATTAAAGTTCATTTTACTCTTTTGAAAGATTTTGAAAGCAGAATTAAAGAAGATGTAGCAAAACCATTTGGAACAGGTGATGATGATCTCAAACTATTAACAGGTATGATTATTCATACTGCTGATTTTAATGGAGGAGCTAAAACTTTTGAAATTTCAAGAATTTGGTCTGAAAGAGTCAATAAAGAATTTAGTGCTCAATATGAAGAAGAAGGTCGATTGGGCATTCCTTAAACACCTTTCTTAAAAGATTTGGATAAAATATATATTATGGCCAAATCTGAAATGGGATTCTTTAAAGTTATCGTAAGGCCTTTATGGTTTACTCTAAATGCCTTTTTTGTAAATATAATTCACATTTTTATTAGGATGGCTATTTACATTAAAGTATTACCAATCTAGATACTACTATTATTAGTTGGGAAAAGATATATCATGCTAATCTTCCAAAAGAAGAAAAACCATAATAATCATGAAAATTATTAGTGTTTATTTATAATGCATTCTAACATAAATGCTTTAATACTCTTTTTTATGTGTATAAAAAATTTTTAAATTATTTTCTAATACTTCTTAATTGCTATTAAATTTAAATATTTTTTTTCACTATCAAATTTATTTCAATCTAAATATATATAATATTAGAGGAAAAAACAGAAGAAAACATTCCCCTTCTTAATTATATTTTTTCTCATTATTTGTAATACTTATAAAGTTTTTGATTCAAAATAATCTATTATATATATTATCTAACAGTATTAATTAAGAATTTAAACTACATATTATATTCTTTTATTTTCCCTACCAGATTCATAAATTATAATAAAACTTCGTTTATAAATCTTTATGATGATTTAAACTCTAAAATATCAGAATAATTAAATTGAATTATTTTACCAATAAAATCCATTATAGTATTAAATTATCTTTTTATTTTTAATTCAAATTCTTATTTGCTTAAATCAAAATAAAAAAATAATATAATAATTCAAATAATCACAAAGATGAAATAAGGAAAAATTGAGATTATTCCTCTTTTAATAGATTTTTTGATTTTTTAGTTTAATTTAATAGAATGCAAAAAAAGTGTACCAAAAAAAACATTACCTATTATCAAAAAAGTAATTTAGATTTTTTTTAAAATTCATTTTTTTATTTATTTATAAATTGTAAATTGTTATAATATGCAATAATTTAAAAAAAATGATTGTTTATGTAAAGGTTGGTGAATGATAATTAATTAAGATAAGAGTAATAATTTAGTAGAAAGAATAAATTGATGTAAAATAAAATTATCTAAAAAGAAATGAGTAGTAAATAGAAAATAAAAAGAGGTATAGTATATTTTAGTATATATGAGAAATCTAAATTTTTAATTGATTTTACTCATCAAAAGAATAGAGTATGAATTCTCAAAAGATAGTCTTTAATTTCGAGATATAATATGATTCAGGGTCAGGTGTAGTAGAAGATTCTGTTCTTAATTTTAAATGAGATGTATGGAATTACTAATTTTTTTCAGAGTCTGCCAAAACCGAATGATTTTTTAATTTGAGATTTAGTATCTGAGATTGAATAATATTGAGGAGATGGAGTATTGGATGTAATTTTAATTGGTAATTTATCGCCAAGAGTATTAGAACGCTTTTTGATAGTGGAAGGTATATTATAAAATGGAACATCAATTTTTAAATAATGAGATGGGAAACGAGGAGCTCTAGGAAATGTAAAGCTTTAATTTCTACTCATAATATTTTATTTCAAATAATATTTCAATTAAGTTTCTTTTTTGGTACAAAGTACATAGGTAAATGGTTCTAATTTTCTCTTATAAATTCGATGGTACCTTCCTAAAGAATTAATAATAAGTAAAAATACTTATATGTTTTCTACAATATCTCTGGTGATAAGTTTTTTAATTTCCTCAAAGAAATTATCATCCATATAACGACCATCTCTAGCATATTCTTATGATTTTTCAAGAACTTGATCAATTAGTTCATTTTTTAGCATTTCACTTTTAGTAATATGTCTAAATTCACTAAACCATTCATGATAAAGAGCAATAGCCCAATTTTCAGATAAAAATTCGGATACATTATTAATAAGTTTACCTCTTTAATCTAATTTATTCAGATATCTAACAGATAATTCAATAAAATGTATTAAACTTGGTATATGAACAGCTTCAGAACCAAAATAAGTTAGACTTTCAATAAGTCCATTAGGGTCAACGTCAAATTACAAGAAATGACCTTTAGAGTCTTTGAAATTATCAGAAACTATAGGTTTTGTTGGTAATTATTATAATTGTTTAGGTTTTGAGAAATCATTCTTTTTAATATAATAATAATAAAGTTTGTATGGTACAATTCCACCTTATCCAATAGGCATATATAATTATGGAAGTTCATCTACTGAATAAGTTTAAGATGTTAAATAACTTAAGTTTAATTATTCTAGAATGCATTTACTTAATTTTTAACCAAGTTCTCTACCATTATATTTATCTAATCGTAAACTTTTACCAACTGAATGATGTTTATATCTTTAAGAAAACTCACATATCTTACCACAAGCAAATATATTTTCTTAAGTTGTTTGGAAATTACTCTTAACAATCAATCTACCATTATATACTAATCCATTTTCATGAATAATATTAAATATTTCTTTATCAATATCTATTAAACCACTAGTAATAAAGAATCTTGAATCCAATTATAAATAATCATATTCACTTGCTTTGAGTTATTCAATTTCTCTAGCCAATACTTCTAATTAATTTTCCCCTTCCTCTTATTCTCCATACATATCTTTACTCATATTATTTTCAGAATTATCTTTCAATTCTTATAGTTCTTATTCTTTTCTTTAAATCTCTATTTTTAATTCTTCATAATTATCTGCTTATTTTCTAAAAATCACTTCTTATAACATATCTTCACTATTTAATCCAAATCCTTCCTTTCCTACTTTTAATTCATACAATGTAAATCCATAATGAATTTTTATTCCCAAATTCATCATTATATCAAATACTTTATTTTTAACTTCCTCATTTTCAAATTAATCTGGATCAAATATCATCTTATCTTCTTATTCTAATCTCTATTTATTATTCTCAAATCTAGTCTATTTCTAAAATGTCTTTGGTGGCATCACATAAGTAATACGAGATGGATGTACACCTCTATTTAATAATCCATTCATAAATGTTATTGTTGTCAATGTATTACCATAAATTGTTATATTTTAAGGTTTTTTCTTTCTTGTTAACAAATCAATATTACTTCCTTTAAATCCTGTTCTTTTAAAATGAGAATATAAATATGGATCATCTATGCTATAAACTCCATTTATAAATTATGAATTCTTATAATAAGGAGATTTCGATAAACCAAAACTTATTTTTTCTCTTGATTATAATTCAGTATCAATCAAACCTACAGTTATTATTAAATAATCAAATGGAATAAATGCATTTTTATCAATTTTAATTCTATTTCCTTTTTTATCTAATTTAACCATTTTAGCATCTACTACTTATACTCTTGCATCAATCATTAATGCTCTCAACTCTTCCAATGTATAATTTGTACTCATTGATTTCAACATTTCAAATTCATGTTTAACATGCATTGTAATTAATCCACCTGGAGCTAATAATATAATATTTGTAAAATTTATATCCTTTATTGTAAGTAATGATTCTATAAAAGATAATCCTGTATCAGATGCTCCAACAACTACAATACGAGAATTGTTAGATATCTTTACACTTGATAATTATTTTTTAGTGAGCATTGCTAATGAAAATGGTGATTATGCTTAATCATATGGATCACGATCATCTAATATTGCTCCCATTCTTTATCTTTAATCTTCATCAAGTGTCCAATCCCATTTCTATTTCAAAAAATGAGGAAATGCACGACTTCTTACAAAATTAAATTCATGAAATATATCAGGTAAAAGTGTACGATCATGAATTTCTAACATTATACATGTTTTATCCATTAATCTACAAATCTCTCTTAAAATAAATCTTGTTTATTTTGCAAATAATGGATTCAAAATACCATGTAATAATCTAGTATGTAAATGTTTGGGATGTTCCTTAATTAGTATATGATCTTATATACAGAAATGAGATTTCAAATATTATAGATTTACATACTTTTTCATACAATATAATCCAATAATCTCATCTTTGCAATAGACAACAAATGTTTCATTTTCATTTACATTTCTAATATCTTTTTCAATATTTTCTTTTCCCAAAAGATTATCTACTAAGAATTGACATTAATTCCATTCATTTTAATTAAATTTTCTTAATTCAATTAAATGAGAATCTAGACTATTTCTATGGAAAATATAAAGAACATGTTCAAAAGTTGAATGCTTCTTTCTTTATACTTATAGAAAATGTGATAATAAAGTAGTTTCTTAAACTGTATATGGTTATGTTAATATCAGATACTCTCTGTCAGGAAATAGTTCAAAGGCTCTTTCTACAAAATCAAGAGATCTTGATTCAAATCTTTCATCTATACAAAAAAGATTAATAACAACCGCATTTTAAGCAGCTTTAGGTACTTCTGGAAGTTAATCAATAGATTGAATTTATGAAACATGTTCATCAAATTATGTTTAATTTCTTTAAATATCTTTAGATTTTTCAAGATTATTAATTTTATTTTATTCTTCTAAAATAATATCTTCAACTTCATTCTATAATGTATTTGATCGAACTAATTATAATCTACACATCATTTAATCATAAATTTTAAGTTTTTAAATGGCTCCAATAAATTCACTATAAGAAGTCATTTTTTATAAAACATCAACAGGTTTAGGAGCATCATCTCCAACTTTTTTAAGATTAGCATCTTTTTTTTTTGCATCTTTTTCTTCTTTAATTTTTTAAACAATTCTATTATCAACTTCTAATTCCCCAAAACATTCAAGAATAAATGCAAGGTTCTCTCCCATAGGTGCTCCTATATCGAATCCTTTATTTCTTAAGACTTCAGGAAATTCAATTAAATCAATATGTCTACTAGGATCCATTTCTCCATTTTCTGTACAAAATTCCATGATTAATTCTTTAAGTCTTGATTCAATTTATTTTCTGAACTATGTTCTAGTTTCAGCTGAAACTGAAGTAAATTTAGTAAAAGCTTATAAAAAAGGTCCTAAATCAAAATAGGGAGGTGGTTTGAAGATATCTTCATCTTTATCTTCTTTTTTTGCTTTTTTATTAGTTTTCTTTTATTAACGTTTAGGTCTCTTAAGAGAGAGTGCTTTTTATTCTTCTTCTTTCTTTTTTGCCCAATCTTTCCAATGACCTTCTCCATTCATATATCCTTTAGGTAATCCAAAGAATTCAAGAGCTTCTAATAAAACTTAAATAGGTTTAATAGTAATGCATTCTAAATCTTTAAATTAATCAGGATATTCCAAAAATAAATCACTAGGTTTAAATACTTAATAATCTTTTAACCAAGTATTTATCATATTCGAAACTACCTATTAAGTAAGTGTTTTAGCTAAATCTTCCTACCCATAATCATCAATCTTTTATTTGATATCTTAATCTCTATCAAAACAATATTATTATAAATATAATCTTTATCCTATAATATGGCATTTCATAGCTTCTTTAGTTAATTCAATGTGTTTTTTATATGTGACAATTTATTTATTGATTTATTCCTCAAGTGCTAATTGATCTAGTCTATTTCTAATGGCTTCCATATATTCTGATTTGTATAGATTGTCAAACACTTCCAAATCAAAACATTAACCTAGTAGACGATAACTACTTTAGAGGAAGGTTCTTACTCAATATCACTAGAAATACTCATCAATCCAACTGCCTTATCTCCTACTTGTCCTACTATTGCTTTTCCATCACTTCTATAATTCCTTGCTTATCTTCTAGTCTGATTCTATGTTGCAATCAAATCAGCAATAAAGAATTCACCAAATTCTTCAGTATGTACATCTGATTAACGATTAAATATGGCAGCTAAATCATCATGATCTTCTTCTCTAGCCATACGAATTTCTAATAATTCAGTTACCATTGAAGATGCAGAATAGTATATCTCACAATTCTAATTTACTCCTTACATAAACTATTATATATTCATAATAAATTCTATACTTTCAATTTAAAATCTTATCTCTTCGGTAACACTTCAAATAAATTTACTAATGCAATATCCAATTCCTATTAAGTAGCATCAATAGCCTCACTTCTCCTTAAAAAGAAAATACCATTAACCACATTCAAATAATCATATACTTTCTGAAAGATTTGTTTTGTGATCTGTAACTGTTGTTCTTCATTCAATTAAAATCGCTTCTTAGCTAATTTTTAATAATCAATCATTACCAAGAAAAAAGAATGTCATCCATAGACAGTTAAATGAACTGACATGAAACCCTAAGTCCCATCCATCATGAATCCACTATTCCCATAAATTCTCGTGCTTAAAATCCACTTATCCTGTCACTCCTTATGGACAATCATTAAACACTGCATTTCCTATTATACTATTCTAGGAATCAAGCACTGTCACTGACAAATAAGATCTCTCAAATAATGTTAGAATCTTTGGATATGCATAAAGTTATTGTAAGTCTTCCTCACCTTCCTCTTACATTAATTACATTATTTCATCGTAATCATCTAAGTCTGCTTTCCTAATCTATAACTCTTAGCCTTATTATTCAAAAAATGACATTTAATAATTTAATAATCATTTGCAGCAATCATTGCTTACGTTCTCGAATTCAAACAACGTTCGCCCAACTTATATTTGCATATTTTAAAACTCTCTTAATATTGGCATCGAATTCCTTAACTTCAGTAGAGTTCCAAATTTTGAATTATTGTCTTCAATATAAAATTCATTATTATGCTAAATACAATTCACATCGTTACCAATATTAATTTACAATGTAATCTACTCACACTAATATCACATAATCGAATATGATTATCATTTGCCCTGCCTATTTTAAACTCTTCAAGCTTTTACAAATTGAGAATATAAGTCTATCTTTCTTTTGATTTTAGTAATGACTTTTTGATCTCTAACACTGCATAATTTTAAAATTGTCTCTTGCTTATTTCAACTAAATCAACTCTTTAACCATTCAATTACAATTTTCGTTTGAAATTACTATGACACAATTCACATTTCATCTAATCCCATAAAAATACTATCGAATTACAATTTTCCATTTTATATTTTGTCACTATCCAATGTTATAAGCACTTCAAATGAATAAATGCCATTGTGCCAGAACAATTACATGGTTCAATCTTAGGATCATCTGCACTTTCAGAACCAATTAAACAAATTCTACAGCGTTACTCATCAACACTTTAACTTACAATTGTCTCATTTTCATCTATTTTTTTCTCACCTTCTATAAACTTTAATTCTTTTAATTTTATTTCAACTTTCCCTACTCTTATCACATCATTATATTGTAGTTTCACACCATAATCGTTTTATTAAATTGATTTAATAACTAACCAAACATGATAATCATTATTTTTTGTTTGCTATATATTTTATCTAAACATTTACTCTAGGTTGTATCCAAAAACAATTTTGTCTATTTTCTATTTAGATCAATGTTTTCCCTTATTGATTTTAAGTATTTATTCCACTCGTCTTATATTCATTTGAATGAATTATTCCACTCGTTTTATCTCTATACAATTTATTAGAAGAATTGATCATCAAATATTAAGTTACTCGATTAGTGTTCTCATAATCAAAAAGATCATGTGAATCTTTAATCCAAGTAATTGTCTTTATCATAAGAGAGCTCTGATGATAAATTGGGTTTTAGAGTTGCTAGATTTTGAATATTCAAATACTTCTAATTACTCAGGAGGCAAAGATTTTCTTTATAAGAAATCATTAAGTTGGATTGAAGAAGAGAAATTCTTTTAAGCAGTTTATTTACAACAATTGCCCATTTATTATTTAAATTAACATGTAATTTTACAATCTAACTAATTTAATAAAATTAATATATATTATAATCATATATAAGTAAACAATGTATGCTTCCTAATTAAAAAGCAGTACATCATCTTAAACCAAATTAAAAAAAATAATAATAACTAAGATTATTAAAAATACATATCTAATAGAGTGTTCATTTAATATGAGAACAGGAAGAAAAGATATGAGAAAGATAAATTAAATCTATGAGAAGAAACTTTATGAATGATATTATGAAATTAGAATAATTAGATTAATTTAGTGATTAAATTATAATATATGTGATCATTGTAGTATTATTATTATAGAATTCTTTCTTATTGGATTCTATTTAATCTTATTCTTAAATGAACATTAAAAAGAGTCTTGTTTTTATCTCATATTTTAATTAAACACAATTTGTTAATTAAAAAATATCAATATATAATTACAATAAGAATAGATGAATATTTAAGAAAACAAAAATATACCTGAAGAAGTATCTAAGGGATTGAGCTCATTAGCTAAAGATCCATATACTTTATAAAATTTTGATAAACTATCTAAATGTGTATTTATGAATTTGGCTGGAGAAGAAAATAATACAAAAATATTGGATCAATTGAATACAGAACCTTTAACAAATGAATTGTTTAATATGATTTTGTTATTTACAGTTCAATGCATAAAGTTATAATTAATGGAAATTGAAATTTCCACTAATTTATATGATTATGGATTTGAGTAAACAATTGTAGATGGATATATAAAGAAGTTTTCTTAATTTAAATAATTTATTAATGATCCTGATAATGCTATAATTGCTGCAAATTTTGAATCTAAAATAGGATTTAATTACTTGGTTGATGTGGATTGGTAATAAGAAATAGTAGTGTCTTCTAAATATGCAAATAAAGTGTATTAAGAAATATATAAAATATAACTTCATACTAAAACCATAGAAAAAAAAGATAAAGACATTGTATTCAAGTGCACTTTACCCTAATTAATCGAAATAAACAATCAATTAGGAATGATGGTTAAGAATATAGAATCAAGTTCAGATTTGAAACATCTCAAATGATGTATAATTATTTTTAAA